AGCAATAGTCCACTTTTTTGTCTACAGCCAAACATGATTCATATTGACCGAGAAGGAAAATGGTGAAAAGCGCAACTGACGTCTAAGATAGCATTCTTTATTCACAGTGGGGAAAGTTCAATGTTGCAGCGCACATACAGGACAATAGTAAGAGCACACGTTTGACTTAAAGCGTTCGATGTGTCATTGTCCTCCAAATAAATGAATGGAAAGAAAATAAATACAAAATTGTGATTGATTTATCTTGTAAAAAGTATTCACTGCAAATTTGGGCGTGCTTGGATGGCTCCCAGTCCTTTTGGTTGATTGCCGCTGGCCATCGTCGTCTTCTGTCTTCATGACGAGCAGGTATCAGATAAAAAAGCTTATGTCCTTGCCTGTTAGTATAACCAACCGCACTGCAAAATATCACAGTTTTGGCTGTTATTAGGTGAAACGTGTTGTTTTGGTCAAGTTTCTGTCATGGAGAGTGAGCGTGGCCGTGACGTCACATGCAAGGGGTCAATAGCATTTGAGAGGCCATTCTGAGTTTAAGCTGACTCAGAAGTATAGAGGGTTGGGCCTCTTGGACCTCCATTTTTCTCTGGAGAACTAAGTAAGCAGGGGGAGGATGTTCTTCTTGGTTTTTGTCTCTTGGGCTTTTTTAAGTGACAAGGTTCAGAGGAGTGCATTCTCGGAGCAGTGTCTTCAAAAGGACACTGCAGTATGTTGTTATTAAGTAACTCATTATTTACAGGAGATTTTGAAGAAACTGATTTAGCAAGTCTATTTCTAGGTCTGATATTATAGTTGGTATTTTGAGGTTTTTTGGTCTGACTAACACCAAGTGTAGATCTATTTGAAATTGTAAGAGGTAATGTTAGGAATGCACATATAGTTTCTCTCTGTCTTGGTTTGGGAACACTTAGCTTGTGACAGCGCAGGTGATACCTCGGTGGCTTGGAGTTTCAAATTACTGCTATGCACCTGAGACTCTGCTCCAAACTTTGTATTTATTTATATATTTTTGTTTTTCATTTTTCTTGAGCCTTACCCTGAGCTTTTCCACCCCTTTCCATCCCACATCAATTGAGACTCGTGCTATATACTGCAAGGACTGAAGTGAATATTTACCCAATATGATCTATTACTTGACATAATTGGTCATGTTTGTGTTTATAATTACTGTATGTACTTTCTATTTCTGATAATGTATTAACATATAGCTGTCCATAGCTCAGGATGTCTCAATCTCTCTACAGAAGTTATTTATGAGTGAGTTGTTGTCAAAGTGGGTTGGTGACGTTGCCATGTCAACATTGTGAATTCATATTTAATACTCGTGGCAGTGACAGACTATATATTATGAGACTGAGGGATTTATGTTTAGAACAGTAACATTAATCACCAACATATTGAACTGTGAAAGGTCGCAATTAGTAAATCCCTAAGGCTGCAATTATTGGAGGAGTAGAGGACGGAGCGTTCCTGTGTCTCCATTTGGTCATTACTCTTTTAGTGCAATTTTGTAGTGTGTTGAAGGTTATGTTCTGAAAAGGGGCTGTTGCATTAATTTAGTAGTCTGTTTAAGACACTGATTTTTTTGGTTTTTAGTCATATATATGGATGGATCGTTATTTTACTTTTTTATTGTATACTTCAAGGTTACATCATCTGTGCTCCCTGGCAACAGCCTGGCCAGTACAGACTTTCTACTGCTTCCACACATTTTCTGATGGGGCCACTCCAGGACCTTGCAACACTTCTTATGGAGACACTCTTTCACTGCGGGGTGCTTGGGATCGTTGTCAAATTAAGTCCTGAACTATAATGTTTCCACTCCCATGGTTTTGTTGTTGGTCAAAAAATTTCTGTTCACATTGAGTTGAAAATATTGGACATTTAGTACTATTTCTTGAACTTCATATGGTAAAGAGCCTAAAGTGATCTACAGTTGAAGGGTTTGTCGTTTAAGTTCCTCTGTATGGGTTATTATTGGTTGATCTTTCCATAGCAGGGACAACACTTTTTAATAATTTGTGTCAATCAATCAACACACAACACACAACACACATAGACCAATAAAACAGTAAAAACCATGAAGAGAGACTTGGCAGGGTTCAGATGCAACCAGCTGAAGAAGCGACATCCAAGGAGCCAACTGCACCAGGAGCAGAGAGCTGCCCATAGCCACAGGACCCAGAGGAGACACAAAGCCAAGGCTCCAGGCCCCCACCAGACTCAAGAACCAGACCCCAAGACCCAGAGGAGACATGAAGCTGAGGCTCCAGGCCCCCAGCAGGTCCAAGAGTCTGACCCCCACAGCTACAGCCGATTACTGCTCCCAGTTCAGAGGGCCCCTCCAGATGAAAAACTGGGGATACTAAAAAAAAAAAAAACTAAAAAAAAAAAATAGTAAAGTAAACTTTTCACTTTGTATGTTGGCAATTGGCTATGTTGTTGACCGTTTTTTCACAAATATCTGTCTTTTGAAGAACACACTACTTGGCCTTCAGATATCATCTTTCTTCTTTTCTTGCTGAATATCACAGAGAACTTTTAGTTTCAAATTCAGCTTCGCATGAGTTTCTAAATTGGCGTCATCTCCAGTTTGTTTCCTTGAACTCTAGTGTTACATTGCTCTGTGTCATTGCATCGGTCTCTCCCAAGTGTATCAGGTCGAAGCGAGGTTCAGGAGAGGACAAAAAGGCTTCTGTAAATGAAAAACACGACAGGTATTTCCCCCGTGCCACAGTTCTTCTGTTTTGTGTTAAGGGTGGCTCATTCACTTGAATACAGTCCTGCAAATAAGCCAAAGCTGGGTTGATAATGATGTTTGAATATAAACCACACCGGACTTCTGCCTCCTGATTTTTGATTTTGAGTTTTTTCTAGACAATTGAAAAAAAACGACTCAGCTCCAGGACATGTACGACTACAGCTGAATCCCACTATTCTCTGTTATCAACCCCCTGCCCCAAAACAACCATTGTCCAATCACACATAATCATTAATGTGTAACTGAAACTCCATGTTCCTAGGGTTTATGTGAATGTAATGTTTCTGTGAACAACTGTGTTGTCTAGATCCAGAGGCAAGATTCATTCATTTAATCATCACCTGAGGGAGAAATTTGCCTTACAAGAGGAGGGTCAGTAGCACCACATTACAAAAAAAAAAAATATTGGTCAGAAAATGAACAATACATAACATCACTGGTCACAAAATTGTACATTCACTCAATGTTATTCAACTGTTTAATGGACTGAGGGATAAAGGAGTGTTTAGACATGTTGCTTTTACACAGGGGAATCCTGCAACTCACTGCATCAGTTGGTCGGTTGAGAGTGGAGGATATGAGGTGGGTCACTGATGATGTTCTCTGATGATAGAGCCTGTCTCTCTGCTGACCGCTAAAAATAGTTTGTGATCAGAGTCGATGATTTTACCAGTTTGTCTTTTGCAGTTATATCACTGACGGCTAAGCAGAGCAACTCTTTTTGCTATAGCTGCTTTAGCTGCTGTTATGTTGGTGCTTATTGCTTGGAGCTTCCCAACTTTACAAAACATTTGTTTTCATTTTTTTCCAACCAAAACCCAAGAGTTTCCTCTTCTTTACACGCTAATATCTTTGCATCTCGGCCTTTAACCTACCACTAGACCTAACTCACTTTTTGCAGAGGCGTTTTAAGTGGTAAACTATTCTGAACCACAAACTTAACTGCATGGTGACTCTTAAATACAACATTAAATTGGAAAATAGCAAAAACATTTGAATATTTGACTGCCCAGGAGTAAAAGTTTTAGTCTTGAGTAACAAGAGAGAAGCTCTATCTTGGTTTGGTCTTTTGCATGTGTTTCTCTTTCCCTTATGAAGACAATCCAGGACACGGCTCAGGTGTGTATCGGGCCCAGAATATGAGAGCAAAAAGCAGGTGAACTAAATTAGGAAGAATTGCAGTCGCATTAACTACTTTCTCTGATTTCACTCGAGACCATGCATTAGCCTCGATGCGTCCGATTCATTGCATATTTTTAGATGTTGATTACATCCCCGCAGTGCATCGTGCCACCACCTTTGCTTCAAGGATCTCACAGAAGTGTTTACCCCAAAAACAAGCTCAGTTGTTTTCCTCCATCATGGCATGTTGCCTTTGATGGACGTAGTAACAGTAACCAAGGGGAGTGGAGCTTTGGGCAGGTCAATTCTGGTTTAAACATGATTAGTTTGTACCAAAAAAGAATCAATATTATTAATTAAATTATAATTTTGAAAATAAGTAGATTTGTTGTTACTTTATTGCACAGTAAGATAGTAGAGTAATGCTCCAGACAACGCTACTCTCAATGATTAACTGAAGGATTTCTTTTCTTTTATACATGGGAAGCACTTTTGGAAGCTATACAAATATATCCGACATTTACATTGACTTTGACTCATCAGAGGCCAAAATTACAGAGCCTCAGCTTCACAGCGAGTCCAGCCATTTGTTTCTGCGCTCTAAAGTGTTCCTGCACAGAATCAGTTTAAATGCTATCAGAATTTAGACATTTAGGCGAAGATAGGTTATTAATAAATTTCTGTGGCAACATAACCACAGGTCTTTCGGTTGAGATCCTGTTTAAATCTATGTGTACAGACTTTATGTTCAGGTATTTCTACTTTGTTTGAAGGTTGAGTCCCTGTTTTGCTTCTGGGTCATTAAAATGGTTCAGAGAAATCCGATATCCTCAGAGGCGGTGCTTTGTGTTTGAACTATATCCCAATTTATTCCAAGAATCACCTTTAATTTGACATTGTATACATTCTCTGGAGTTACAATGCAGGTATATGTGGTGTGTAGGACTTCTCTCTGCATTCAACCACTTCCTGTCAACCCAGCGAAGGAAACAAGACTCTAGAGACAGAAGAGGAAGAGACCTGAGGGGGAGGGCTTTCATTTACACAAATTGCAGAAGTAAAAAGTTTGCAAATGTCCTTAAACTGAAAGGGAAAGAGTGAAGAGAGCAACGCTTGAATAATGGCGCCTTGGACGAGGACCGCAACTGAGCGCTACGGTGTAGGTAAGTTAGATCACAGATGTGGATTAAGGTACTTTTTTATACAAGATAAGACGGATTGATTTAATATACATAACATTAACAGAAAGTACAAAGACACGGCCCAATTTCAGAAAGTGTTTGACATTGTTGTTGGCTGAAGGCACACACTGTATGCACATCAGTATACATTTTAAAACACAAATGCACAAATGAATTAGTGTTTTTAATGAGTGATAATAATTTAAACTCTCAACTATAAACAAACCATTTCATCTTGAGAACTAGAAGAACAAGAACTAGATGAGCTAATACAGCATATGTGGCATCACACAGTCATTCAATTAATAATAAATGTATATGTATAAATTTATAATACATGTATTCTGGAACCCTCTATAGGTAATGAGCAGGTGTTGACAGCCGGAAACTTTTTTTCTCTGACTTTTGAAATGCTGTCTATGCTCCCATGTCACTAGCATTGCACATTGACATCAGTTGTTTCAGTTGTATGTTTATAACAAAGAGATGGAAATGGTGTTCTGATTTTGAACCAAATTCACCCACCTTTTTGGGACGTGCCTTTGCAGGAAACGAGGAAGTGAGGGTTGTAACTGTTGCCTAAATGTGTGTTGAGCTGCAAATTTATTTATGAAGCGGGTTCCCTTTCTATTTAACATTTACTGGTTGAATAATTTGAATAAAATATGCATCTTAGCCACATAAAAGGGTCAGTTCTGTTACAGTAACTTGTATTTATTTATTTGACTTGGACTGTTCTTGTCGATAAACATATGTGGTTTAACATTAAGTAGACACTAGGAGCCAATCTGGGGTCACAAGGGATTCTATACAAATACAGCAGATAAAAGCACACATTAACAACCGGAATTCACACACACAGTATTACAGCGTTGATCAATTCATTTAAGAAATATTTTTATGGACGGTGCCCGTATTGCACACATATCTACTACACAAGTCTTTCCTTCTATGGCATTCATACACTTGCACTTGTTACTCTTCAGCCATGTTGACAGCTCTGATTACCCAGGAGCCATGACATCAGCCGGTTAGTGCAGGAGTCGAATGATGGCAGTTCACGTAGTGAGTTAAGGTTTTTGTTCCAGGTCTGTGAGCTGTAGGATAAGACGCAGAAGAAGAAGTCTGACCAAAATAGCTTTTTCTTGGGGGAATAATACAGTCACCCCGAGAACATGTCACCCCGTAGTGGGGCAGATTCAAGGCAGATTCATATACGTACAAGGATGTAGTCTGCAAATTTGATCTCACAATTTAATCTGATTGGTCTTGTCTTTCTGTCTAAAGTTGTAAGTGCTTGTTTATTGGTTGGTTCAAGGTTTCAGGTTTTAGTGTGTCTTACATGCAGCCACCTAGCTTGTAAGACGGACTACTAGCTAGGTGGCTGCAGGCCAAAAAACATCAATACTGAAAAATCAAATGAGTTTGTCTGCCTCCAAAGTCAGATAATCGTTTCACTTGGTATTCCATTTTTGATCTCTGCTCCCCCTCAGATATATTGTATATGGCAGATGTTTAGTTTTTGTGTGGCCGTAGATTGTAGCATCATCTGTGGACAGTTGGCATTGTTGGGTGGGAAGCTTTCGGGAAAGTAATTTATTTACAGGCTAATTAAAAGCAGTGATATGGACACAACTTGAGGTACTCCCCGTTTTTTTCAGAGGTTGCTGATGATGAATAATCTTAACACTTTTTATTCTTCTAGTTAGATTTTGTTTTAAAATATTTAATTTGCAGTGTCGAATGCTTTCTTACGGCATACGGCTGTCTCTGGAATAATTTTTCCTGAAGCTGTATTGCATTTAGTGCAGAAAAAATAGACTACAGTTCAAGTGTGTTGTGAGCTGCTGTGTAATGCACTTTCTGAGTATCTTTGAAACTGCAGACAATGCTTATGGATCTGTAGTTGCCCGTTTCCGTACGGTCCCCTGATTTGAAGATGCTGAGATCTTCTAATAGTCTGCAAATGTATTTGAGCTCAGTGACTCGTTATACAATACTTGTTATCGGTGAGCAGAGTGATTAACATTTTTTCTCAGTCCAAATACATCTCGGGCTTTGGAGTTTTTAGATTGCTAATGATATGGTCTATTTGTGAATGTGGTACAGGGCTCAAATGAGGAGTATGCTCATTAGCAGACATTACCAGCAGAGTGTGTTGTGCCATTTTTAATGATATCATTTTTTAGGCATTTTTAACTGCTCAAATTATTTATTCACTGAAGTATTTATATGTCTTTTGCTTCTTTGATAGCATAATCAAATCATGATCTGATCGGCTCGTGATCATGTTGTAGGTTTTTGCAATTCTCTTTGATTTGTTTGAGAATCAGTAATCAGTTGGATTACTTATTCCGGTTGAGCCGTCTATAGCTTGAGTTAGGTCATGCTTGGTGGTGATCAGTTTTAATCTTTTGGGAATTGATTTTTCAACCATGTTTTCATTAAGGTCTCTTAATAGTATTTGTCACTTCCTTCTTCCAGGTACATTCCCTGAGGACATCCTGCAATTCCTCATAGAACGTGCCAAGAGCTGATGGAGGCTTATTTAGTCCAATCAATATAATTGACATTTGGGATAGATACTTATGTTTAGTCCTGGACATTCTAAATTCTAAAAGTTAAAGCGTGACCTAATTCATGCTTTGTCATTATGTTTCTAATATGCATCTAATAAGGGTAAAATATAATTCAGATGATTTTAACTGAAAATTAACAACATTTTAAATTAAATTAAATGTATTTTATTAGATCTCTAAACCACAACTGTAGTTGCCTCAAAGTACTTCGCCAACACAGATCAGAGAACACAGGAAATGCAATAGTAACCAACCACTGGAGGTGCAATGTGCCAACAAGTTTGAATTAAAATAAAGCTTTATATAATTTTTGTGTGTATTAAGCTTAATTGGTCACACATGCAGTCCACTTGAATACAGTGGACTGCATGTGTGCATGTGTGCATTTTCAGGCAAGAAAATAAGTTCAACTATAAATGTGCTGTTCCACATTGTCAAAAGTACTTTCTCTTCTATGGACACTTACAAACACACAATGGCCACAAACGTACCATGCATATGTCCACATATGCACATCTTGTCATAATGCGTTATTCATTGCAGCCTCTATTTTCAAAACTGCTTAGTGGGATTGTTACGCTGGGAGTTGACAGTTGCGTCGCCCAAATTTTCATTCTTAAGAGGACAGCCGGCTGTCTGGGGCCACGTAACCCCTTTGAGTGCTTTTTACTTTACTTCTACTCAACTTCACCTCAAAGTGCTTCATACAAAACACTTAAGATTCTCTTTACTTGGCAATATTCATTCTGTGTGTGGTGTGGAGAGAGACCCCATAAAGCACTGTTTATACTGCACATGTATATATAGCCTGGCACCAGACTAAATATAGATTGAATAATAATTTGCGTGCTCATGGCAGGCTCCCCCTGACTGGTATGTAGATGTTTGGGCATTTTAACTACCTATGTTAGGTACAGTTAATTTAAGTGTGTGCTGGGGAGAAGTAAAGTAGATTTATACATAACCCATAGACTGTATATTAAGAGTGGACTGACTGAGTGCTGATTGGAGCTAGCTTGAACAGGCTTTTTGAGCTGGGATGTTGGGCCAAATTTAAGCCCATTTTGTTCGTAGAAACGAACAAAGCCAGTTCAATTAAATTATAGCAAAAAAATGCAATAATAACCAACACATAGAGCCATTGCCGCATAAGGGGTAAATGACCAATTTCCATAAATGTCGTTGAACGTCAAGCGTCCTGGATCAGCACCACTGTCCATAGACCCTCCTGCATCTGCTAGGAAAAGCTCTAAAAACGCAATGCGAGAAAATGAAAAACCTTGGGCACCTCCTCCCTCGGACGGACTGGCTATAGATCCAGGACTCAGGTTGTAGACCGAGGACCGAGGACCTGCAATGCATGACTGAGGTGGCTCCGAGGCAGGGAGGGGGTGCAGCCGGGCCAGGTAAGACGGTCCACAAGTGCAGATGGAGGAGGCCAGGTTGAGAGGACCCATCATCACGCCATGAAACAGACAGCAAGTGAATAGCAATGAAAAGACTACAAGCAGGCCTGGACTGGCCATCGGGCGTACCTGGCAACGCCCGAAGGGACAATGCCCATATTTGGGCCGGTCTGTCTGCTTCATTAAAAAAAACGTTTGTATAAATCCATTAAGAAATGTTTGAGGGGCGCGTGTGACCGCGGGGCACCTGCTCTTGTTTGCTGTATGAACTCGAACGGGATCTCGCCTCCTCCATGTCTGCAAGGTTCTGAGGCAGCTGCGGCCGCTTAGTAATGAGCGGTTCTCAAGTCCAGAGGCTGTGCGCCGCTTTGAAACACGGTGAGCGCGCATCCATAACGTGGCCATGTTCCCAAGACCGTATACGCGCACAGGACCTTTTTTCTGCTTGTTGTGTGCGTTACCTGTGAACGCAATAAATACACTTATACATGAAACAGTCCGTGTCTCCCCCTGCGTCGCTAAATTGAAGCTGGGATACCTAATTTTTCCATTGCATTAACAGTTCATGTTGGTTGTGCCAAAAAATAAAATGCTGTGAACAAATCAAACAGATTTAATGACAGTCATTGGCTAACACTATGCAACGATCAATAGCAGCAGTTAGGCAAGGCAAGTATATTTGTATAGCACAATTCATACACAATTATCAATAGTAGTAAGTGTGGGTTGTACTAAATCAGAAAGATTTATCTTTAATAATAACACCCTCCGTTAGATTAAGAATGTAGTATGTGAACTATCAAGACGTGCATTTTCATTTTCATTGCACCTGCGCTGTGCAGAAGAGTGTAAACAGCAGTCCCTACGATCTTTGACTTATTCAGAGAAGGCGAAGGTCCAAACAATCTGAGAAAAGACACCAGTGCCAGTTCCATGAAATTAGTTCTATAAAGCTCCAACTAAAACCAATTTCAAAAGTTTCAACCTAGTATTCAGCAGAAAACACAACGAACCATGAATCCATGTTTCACTCTAACTACGTTTAGTAAAATATATAGATATGACACATACCATCATGTTTCAGACTTTAGAACCACAGACACACGTTTAGTATAAGACTTTAGAAACACAGACACACGTTCAGAATAAGACTTTAGAACCACAGACACACGTTCAGAATAAGACCATAACGCTACATTTTTGCATTTGATTGAAGACACTCACCATTTCTCTCAAACTCATCATCATGTTAGCTGGTGTCCGTAAAAATAATCCATGTTGTCAAACTACCTCCAGACTTTTCGGTTCTGTCTACTTTTACGGCTGGGATCTTTCATTTCATGGTAGTCACTTTTATGCTTCTTAACTTTTCTCTGCACTGCGATGTCCGTGATATCCATTCCTTCGTCCCTAGTGCTACCTTCTCTAACACTTATTTACACTCACTCAGGTGTCACCATCGAGCTCAAACTGACCGCATCCGCAAAACGGGTCGAGACGGGTTGGACCATAGATCCATGACTCCAGCCCGTGGAAACGGCCCTAATGTTCGCAAATGTTGAGTTCCTGAAGATTGCTCCTCATCTGAACCGAGTCAGATTACTCAAAATCAGAATTACTGTCATAACAAGTACGCAAGGGCTCATAAATAAAAACCCCTGACTTGTATTGTCCATCACTGAATAACAAATATCTGTTTAACCCTTTAAGCACCAAAGGTTTTTTTCCAAAACGCTCAATTTTGACATCTTAATTCAAAAGGCTATAACTTAAAAGTGATAAGATATAAAGGCTTTCTGTAAATTAAAAAAATACTAAGGATGGTCCAAAGTTTATGTAGAGAATAAATCCCCCCATCTAATTTGCATATTATGACGTCATTGGCGTTGGAAATAGTGGATTTTAGAATTTTCATACAATATTGGTATTTTTCAAACTGACAGACATATATTGATCACTAAGACATGAACACACACTGTAACATTGTAAATGTTCATGAAAATAGTAAAAAATACAAATCATGATGCTGCTGTGAGCAGTCTGCCCAGATGCGCGCCTCCAGGTGAAGCGCGTCACCGCGACCCTCCTGCTGCTTTGTTCGTCCCACAATGGGCAAATTTCAATTTGATCCATACACATACACGTAAACACATCAAGGCAAGCAGCGACAGTGGGTATAGTACTTGTTTGTATTACCTTTATAACAAAATATTGGAATGTAAAAGAGAAATCTGAAAATTACTCTGTTTTCTCCTGTACATGTGTAAATAAATGAATATTCTATGTCTAGGGGGTTAGTATTGTCCATTTTCGGCCTGTTAGCTTAGAATTATATTTGCAGGGGTAGTCTAGCTACCCAAACATATAGCGCTGAAAGGTGATAATGAAAAAGTATAGTTCCAGTATAGTAAGTACAGTATAGGTTCCATTTCTTAACAATTACATTTTGTTTATTCTTATTGTTGTTACTTGTTTTCTCTGGTTTGTTCACAAAATAACGTTTCACTTGTAGGCACACACTTGATTTGTTCCTTCAGTCCCAATATACCATTTCCTCTGAGATAAAAGAATATAGATTTTAAAACAAGGTTAGATGTGGCCGCATCGCAGTGATGCACTTTTGTAACTCACACTCCTGACATACATCGGGCCACTACAGTTAATGCACATTTAATCACTCTCCATTCCTCCACGCACTATAAGTTGTGATGTTGGTCACATTGATACTATGAAGCATGTGCAGAGTAATCCAGGGGAGTTTTGTTGAGGCCTGTATGATGCGTATGTGGCGTATATGACTGAAATCCATGACTTTCTGTCATGGCTCATAAAACGTCATTTGGCCAGCAGTAAGTACAAGAACACTCCCTTTAGGGCTTCATCTGACATTAGTGTATATTTCCTTCTTTACCTACTAACACAAATGACCCCCTCCGAACCCAGAGCTACCAGCATTGGAATGTAGACTTATAGCAAAAGTATATTCCAGGGGGAGTATTTATTTACACAAAAAGCAAGTTCATACAGCAGAAGCTCTAGCGCCCTTGTGTGCTTGTGTGCTGCTTCTCACCCATACTGCTAAAAGTGTCTTATTCATATTCTTTCTGTGTTTAGTCAAATGGAATTTCAATGGTGAAGGAAAGCGACAACTTCCTCTGGAGGTGGGAGAAACGGTTCACATACAAGAAGAGTGTGAAGGTATGAGCGCTATTAATAACATACACTCATAGAAACAGTCATTTGTGTTGATGGAAACTGAGGCGGGTGTGAAAACCATTTATTATTAAGCACTTCTTGTCTAATCATTGCACAGGTTGGTACAGAGGATACCTGACAAAGAACAAAAGGAAAAATGTAAGTTTTAGTCAAAAAATCAATCAATATGTTTACATTAAACATTAGAAAATAATGCACAAATAACAGTGTTGAAACAGTGTTACTTCATTATTTATGTTTACAGTAATTTTCAATGTTATTTAGAGAAATAGTCATTTCATTGATGTTCTAATTTTCTTTTTAGGGAGTGTTCCCTGCCAGTTACATTCATGTGAAGGAAGTCATCATTGAAAAACGAGGGTGAGTTTGTTATCTTCAATTATATATGTCTATGATATGACTTCGCGTTGACTTCATGTTTGGCAAAATGTGTAAAACAGGCCCCATTTTATGTGACTGTATGCGTGTGTCAGCGTATGTGTGAAATTAAATATATTGATGACTAGACTGGTCGGGTTGGTTGGGTTGACCGCATACTGTATGGGGAAGCTCTATTTGTTTGAAAATGACTTATATATCATTGGATTAATTGATAGACTATAACCATTTAACATGTGCAGTGATGAGGATGTGATCATCTCCGCTGACATGCCTCTGGTGAAGGAGGTGACCACCACACTCAGAGAATGGGGGACCATGTGGAAGCAGCTCTATGTGGTATGAACAAACTAGTAGGATACCAGTTTAAACTTGTGTTTCTGTGGATGTACTAAAACGATCATTTCTTCTTTGTAGTCAAACAAAGGAGCTCGAGTCAAACGCGTCCAAAGGCTTATGTGGGATCTGATGGAGTGGCGTTCCCAGCTCCTGTCTGGCACCCTGCCCACAGATGAGTTCAAGGAGCTAAAGCAGAAAGTCACCTCCAAGATTGACTATGGCAACAAGTATGGCTGCTCTGACGCTCATAATGCATGTGTTCGACCTGTTTGAAGTTCTTTTTAGAGAGTGCATGTAGCTGCTTAGCTTCTAATCTAAATTATGACTTTTATCTTCAAATGACTCATTACTGTGCTCCAAGGATTTTAGAGCTAGATCTGGTGGTGCGGGATGAAAACGGAAACATTTTGGATCCAGAAAAAGCCAATGTCATCAGTCTGTTTCGAGCTCATGAAGATGCCACAACTAAAATCAATGAACGCATTAAAGAGGAGCAGGTATGACATGTTGGATGTGCATGGGTGATTACATTTTCATTCATGATGTAAGAATGAAGTCACATGTGCAACCAAACAAAGCCCCATCAACCAGAAATATCTCGCCTATAATGAACGGATTTGCATAAGTGTGTGTTGACCTGATTCTAAGGAAACACAAAGACATGGTTTTGTCACTGACGATGATAAAGGTTTTAGAAACAACAGGAATGCACATAATAATGGGCCATATCACAAATGTATCGCTCTGTACATCATCACAAAGGATATGAACTCAAACTAATAAAATGTGCTTGAACTGCAGAGAGACAGCTTTTGAGGGTATTTACATTCAAATTGGGCAAACCGTGTAGGTCTTAGAAGTGCTTTCAAATGAGCCTCCCACTTTTTGAGCATCCAAAAGTATTGGACTGGTTGCAAATCCTTTTCATGGCAATTACTGCCTGAGGTCTGGAAGAGGCATCACAAGGCCTCGATTGCAATAATTCTGTTCAGTTCCTGCTTGCTCCTAGTGTATTTTCAGTTTGTTTTTGTCTTCAGCAAGGGAAGTTCTGCTGAGGTTATGTGAATTATTTGCGCATTGTAAAAAATTATAAAATAAAAGCTTTTACATTTGGGTCAATGTCCATCTGCCAGACTGTGAGCTCTATAAAGTTTTGAAACATTTGGATGGATACACTTTGCCAAAACACTTCTGTTGCTTTTGACAGCAGTTAGATTAGTAACAAGAACTTGTTAATGTGACCGCAACAGAATGAATTCTTAAGTGTAGACCGCAGACCTCCACCAAGAGGCACAGTTTAATTCCTTAAGACTTAGATCCTCTGGTAGAGCTGCCTCTGGGACCAATGGAGCACACAATGCATAATAAACAGCTCCACACACTTTTCCACTTGCTTTTGCCAGAAAGACCTTGTTACGACCTGGATTTAAACACTGAGAAGCTAGAGCGCTAACCACTCAGCCACCATGCCGGCCAAAGGAAGTACTCGCTGCAGACAAAGTACATCCAGCTTGTTTCATTTCAAATGTATTGGGGCCAATAAAAAGTATGTCAACTGTGTCCATGTCTGAATATTTGTGGACCCGACTAAATAAATAAATTCAGTTTTTAGTTTTTACGGACAGTACCACCATTCATACCTAACTCAACTGGTAACATTTGCAGCTCGCCCGAACCCTTCCACCACCCTCTTTTGTGTTTTTTATGTATTACAGCTCAAGTATAGGGGGGAAATAAATAAATACATTAATGAATCAAATTATGAATCAATCGTACTAAAATTTTAAATAAATCATAATAAAACAAATAAAATAAAAAACAGCAAGGGATATAGTTGGTACACAAAAAGGAATGGAAAATAGGGTTATAGAGGGTGATGGGGTGGATAAGATAAGTGCTCGCACCCACACACCAATGCACACACACACACACACACACACCCCTACACACCCATGTGAAGATCTACGCTTTTGTCTATTTCTTGTTTGTCTTATTGTATTTGTACGTCTGCACCTGTATTGTATGTCTATATTTTCACAAATAAATTAATTCCATTACAATATGCAGATCCAATAAAAGACCGGCATGTGCTGATTCTGATGAAACTCAGCGTTCTCTTTTTTCCAGTCGAACGTTCAAATGGAGCATTGTCTGATCTCTGCACGGATTCAGTCGTCCCCGACCCACAGCCTGTATGTGTTTGTGAGGAACTTTGTGTGCCGGATCGGAGAGGACTCTGATCTCTTCATGTCTCTGTATGACCCCAACAATCAGACCATCATCAGGTGAGGATCAAATGTCACATCCTCTACTCCCTCTACGGGAGCGGATCATTGTGGATTATTTATTCATTTAGTATTCAAAGTTTAACAGTATCAAAACATAACATTGAAGTAGGTTTCAATAAAAAGGCCTGAGGTTATCAAGCAAGATTGAATTTGTCTTTTGAAATGAAAAGGCTACTCTTGTCATTGTGGGCTATACAGAGAGCTGTTTTTCAGTTCATTGTAGAGACTGGCAGTTAGTGTCAAAAGTGAATCATTGTATGTCAGACGTCCAGCAGCAGCAGAAACACATCTATTCATACAAACAAAACAAATAAATACGTCACTCTAAAAGTAAGTAACAATAGAAATAAAAAGCAACAGCACTTTAGATCACAGAAGCAGAGACGGGGAACATCCGCTGGGTGGAGCAGGACAGGTCACAGCAGCAGATATCTTATGTGCTGTAATGCCTGTGGTGTACAGTAAATTCCCCATTAGGATACATGTTCATGGAAACATTCTATAAGGCAGAATTTCTAATCAAGTACACTCATAAGTCAAATTTTAGCCACAGGATGCAAATATGTACCTTTTTGCAAATTGACAGCTTTGTAACGTCCTCCGAGATACTGTTGTGATTTAGGGCTATACAAATATAAATTTAATTGAATAGAATTTTATAATCTATGGCTGTTGGTCGATTATATTTTGTAATTGTTGGGTAAGAGTTTAATCAGCCCCTTCTCTACATTTTCTGGACCCTCATGCAGAAGTCTCCAGTTTGGGTCATTTCTGTGTTGTATTGTCATTATGGCCAACTGCAGAGCTCAGGCGGCTACCCATAAAGCCCTAATGTTGTCTGAATAGTGCTCCCTTATAGTGGGACAGCACCAAATGACAATCTGTGCCAAAAATAACAAATTGAAACCAAATGATGGGGTAGCTGATAGAAGTGAGTGGCAGCTCAGTGTGATAGATGACAGAGCTGATGGCACAGCCTGTCACTCACTGTCATCTCTCCAGTGCCCCATTTAGAGCTTGGATTCTGATATTTTCAACATTCTTCGGTTAAAACAATCATATTTTTTTAGTTTGCTTTGAAGTCTGAATGTTTGTTGTTGGGAATATCCAATGTCACAATCCACACGATAATATTAATACTTATTTGCCAGTATTCAAACTTTCTCTGTTCTCCAAAGTCCTTTGAAATGACAGCAATTAGACTTTGGGGTTGAAAAGGATAGAGTCGCTAGGAATGCAATTAGAATACGGAACCTGTAAGAATTTCTAGAAGTAGTGGGTAATATTGCGAATGCGCATCTTGTCTTTAAAATATAGTTGTCAGTGTTTATTCCCCAACATCAGATAAATAGTATACCAATGTAATTACCTTGACATGTTTCAGTTGTATTCTGTCTTTTTCAGAATAACATAAAGAAAAAACACATAAAGTGTTATATTTTCTGTGCAGGACTTTGGAAACTTGTTTGATAACATGTGCTATAAAATTAAAATGAATGATGATTGAATTGGATTGAAATATGAACATTGAATATTCTTTGAATAAATAGTCTATATTACCAAATGTTCACCTGGTGGATTGCATCAGTAATCAGTAAGAGCAACATGTGGGATTCTGGCAAAAACGTGTGATTGTAATGACTTTGTTAGACCTCTGTGTGCATATTACATACTGTCATGTTCACATCATAAAACATAACAGCATATATAATCATGGTTAATTTTTTTTAAATTTAAACATTATGCACAGCTAATGTCCGTCATTGTTTATTCCCCCTCTATTTCAACTCAGGGTTACACGAGTATTGTATAGGGGTAATCAACACAATAATTCGATTATTTTTGTTCTTGTCAATATTGTCTACCTAGAAACAGTGGTAGGTCATGAAAACCGACCAATTCACTTTTTAACCAGTTACAAAATAATAGAAAGCATGTTATTAACAGGCGTCTTACTGTACAATTAAATTAATATTTTCAGATAGATAGATTGATAAATACTTAATTGTTTCCCTGCAGGATAAATTCAGGATTATTCAGTACTCTATTGAAGCTATAATGTTTCCTGTAGATGTAATTTTGTTGCTTTGTGTGCAGTGAGAACTACCTGGTCCGCTGGGGCAGTGGAGGCTTCCCCAAAGACATCGACATGCTCAACAACCTGAAAGTTGTGTTTACTGTGAGTCACCACTAGAGTGCGCTGTTGTTACACTGTCTGCTTCACTGTGCGTCCTACTGCTCCATTTTTGTGTTCACATTTTAAACACGTTTTCCTTTTCACATTTTAATGTTTCAGGATTTAGGAAACAAGGATTTGAGCAGGGAGAAGATTTATCTAGTTTGTCAGATCGTGCGAGTGGGAAGGATGGACCTGAAGGAGTCAAACAGCAAGAAATTCACACAGAATTTACGACGACCGTTTGGAGTGGCTGGTATGCTGTTTTTTGTGAATGCCCTCACATCTTTTACTTAATTAGTTTGTTGCTTCAGGTTTATTGGCCCAAAATTTGTCTCAAAGGAACTTTCCTTTCCCGTGCTGAGGCACAATGGACACATGCCCAAACAGAAGTTAAATATTTATGACCACCTGCGCTTGCTTTATGCTGTAGGGCCTTTCTGTTTTGTTATCTCACAAGTGTTAATTTAACACAACAGTAAACAAATAAGTGTATTATACCGGGGGAAAGAAAGAAATGACGAAGTGCTTATAACCACCTCTTACTTCACACTCTGAGCCCATTTTCCCCCAAATCTATTGAAAGTAAACTTAAAATAGAATCTGTTATTGGACCCTTTAGAATCCTTGTGAGGCTTTTGGACTCTGATGACCAATTTATTTTCAATAGTGATAATGAGCCAAATCCAAAGTGACCTACGTGTTCTTTGGTAAATATAGAGTCTGGTACTGTTGGGTTGTATTTATTCCCCCTTCATATTACGTATAAAATGAGATATGAGGGACCTGTAGCAAAGCACAAAGCTCAAGGTGGAATACATGTCAAATCTCATTCTTCTCTTTTTTGTTTTTTGCCTTAGATTTTGTTTGTGTATCTCGAGTTCTAACCGTTCAGAATGTTTGATTTGCCTAGAATAATGAAAAGGGTACATTTTTATTTAACAATTATGAGAAAATATTGAAACAAATTAGTAAGAGAAAAGTGTTTGGAGTAAAATGCAGAGGGATAATCTTATTGAGTCAAATTGCTTCGTCTTCATTTTGATCCATGTGTAAAAATGTGTTTAATGTCTTTGTGTTTCTGGCAGTGATGGACATCAGTGACATCATTAAAGGGAAGATTGACTGTGATGAAGAAAAGCAGTTTTTCATCCCCTTTGCTCCGTATGTTTTACTATTCAAATAAATCTGAAATAGGCAAATAGACTAAAGTTATACAAAATATATACTTGTGTTTACTTTATTCATTCATGATTTTTTTCATTAGCATCACAATAACCTTATTTTGTTGGTATATAATAAAAACAACACAAAGCACAGCAGAAAAAAAACATATGTAAATAGACAAATTACACAAAGCTGGAGGCAGGTGTTTTGTCCTTGCGCTTGTTGCCTGACCCTTACACTGGACACATGTGTGGCGTGTTGCAGGAAGGACATGAATACAAATGTTGATATTGTATTGGATCGATCCATCTGTTCTAAAAGGATCTGAGTAAAAAGAAATAAAAAAGTCTGAGTCAATATATATTACACTTTAACATAAAAAACAAACCCATTCCTTTGAACTGCTTTCAGAGTTCTTGCTGAGAACGACTTCCTCCACACTTTACTGAACAAAGTGACATCATCGCGAGGAGACAGCGGAGGGCAAGGTAAACCACGCCACGCGTTATGTAACGTAATAACACACACTCCCGTTAACGTTGCAGCGTTTGAAGTAAGAGTTATTTATGGACTTTTCTCATTTCCCTTCTGCCTCGTCACCACTGAGTGAAAAATGAAACACGTTCATCTGATGGACAGCGTTTGCCCTTGAGCTCATATTGTCATTCTCGTCTGCCTTTATTTCTTCTCCACTGCTTTCTCTCACTATGTCATGTTTATGGCGGACTTTGACACTTTCTGAATGACGCAGTTTTACATGGAAAACACGGCCGGCATCCGACTGTGCTGTTGCCTTTACCTACTGTCCCTGAAGGCCCATCGATTAGCCCGGATAGATTTAGCAGAAGAATAACAGAACCTTTATTTGTGCGTGTATTCTGCAGCTATTTATACATAAACTATATAAGTAGCTGCTATGTTTCTTAGCTAGCTGTAAATTCTTCAACATCAATATATCTCTATCTATATATATAGGGTAAAGTTATATACATATAGAAGCACAAATTTGAGGAGATTTTGGTACTGTTAAAGCAATCACCACTTTTACTTTTCTTTATGGCCTCTTCAACGCTCCTTATCGTCTCTTTGAGGTATTTCATTGGCCCTTAATCATAGCTGTTTTGCATCTTCTTAAAAACCAAATCGTTGATGCTTAACTTTATTCCCCAAGTGGTGTCTTTGATGCTGAAGTTGAGTTTAATTGATTTGGTGGAGATAGCTGACCATTGACTTCAATCACCATTTTGAACTTGCACTCAGAGACAGCATACCCCACCGAAACACTCTGGATCAACTCAAAATTAGGGTTTTTCTCCCATCACATCCCATATTATACGTTATTATGGTTTTGTTCATGTTTATGAGTTATACTTGATCCGAGGGTAGTGAGGCGCTTTGTGTTTCCTTGTGTAGGCAAAGGCGCTCTACAGAGAAAAGTTGATTGATTGATTTATATACAAATTTCAGCCCATCCTTCCGGTAGTATTTGCGCCATCCTGCACACAAACAAAACGCACTGACACGATCACATTACCCCCCTGTTGAGATAATAATACTGATAATAATGAGGCAATAATAATGCCCTGAGAGGGTAAAAATTGTTCAGCACTGTGTATCAAAACACATAGTGCTGAACTATGTGTTTTGATATATATAGTTCAGCACCATATGCATGCTGCTCTGTGTGACGCTCTCTTGCTCCTCCATAGGCCTGTGGGTGACCATGAAGGCGTTGGTGGGAGACATTGTCCAGATCCGGAAAGAGTACCCTCACTTGGTGGACCGCAGCACAGTAGTGGCTCGTAAACTGGGATTTCCTGAGATTATAATGCCTGGAGACGTGCGCAACGACATCTACCTAACTCTGCAGGGCGGGGATTTCGACAAATACAATAAAACCACTCAGAAGAACGTGGAAGTCATCATGTGGGTCTGCGACGAGGAGGGCAAGGTCATACAGGTGACCGCTGGCTATTTTTTCCACTCTAAGATTGGATCGCGGAGGAGATGGAAAGTGTATCTGGTGTTTAGTCAAGCTGCTGTTGTAATATGAAGATCATGCCCTTTCATACTCCAGAAAATTAATGTATTATACAACAAATACAAACAACGCATTTTAGTTCTTTTCCTTTCTCTTTCTTCCCCAGAACTCCATTTGTCTAGGAGCTGGCGATAAACCAGTCAGCGAGTACAGATCTGTCATCTACTACCAAATCAAACAACCGCGGTGGATGGAAACTTTTAAGGTAACATTTCTGCTGTCTGAAAAAAAACTGAATATCCAATTTCAATTTCCTCTATTTCCAATTTTATTTGCAATCCATGCTCAGTTCTGCCAGTTAGATTATTGTGAAAGTAATTTGGTGATGTTGTAGCTGTTGTGGTTATAGTAGGAACAGCAAAAGCAGAGATTAAAAAGATGCCTTGGGTCTGAAAGCACCCACTAAATGATAAATGCAAGTGATTTGTTAGCCTTCATGGATGGGCTGTTGGGTACTAAAAAATGTGTGTACTGAATCGAAAATGTCGACATTTATTGTAATGCAGCTATTTCTTCTTACCACATCTTGAAGAAATATTACCCATTATTTTTGGCCATTAAAAATAATAATGAGACAATTTACTCTGTATTTTAATGTTTCAGAATGTGAAATAATATCCACAGTAGTCTATTCTGTGTATTTGTTTATTAGAATTTTATTAGAATTTTTTTATGCATGCGTTTGTATATTTTTTAGTTGTTTAAACAATCATAACAGTATTGCATTACAGTTAATAAACCCAAACTCAGCCCCATAATAAGATTGATTTTCTTGTAGTCTTTAATAACTTGTCTTGTGTCCCAGGTGGCCGTCCCTTTGGAGGAAATGCACCGGATTCATTTGCGCTTCAAGTTCAGGCATCGCTCGTCCCAGGAGTGTACGTATCACAACCGTTTCCTGTGTTTTCACTTTTTTCCAATTTCCTAATCCAACACTTCCATCCCTCGAGTGCAATTTGACACCAAAGCTCTGAATGATTAGAGGCCGTTTGAAATTACCTTCAGCACCGTTACACAGACGTGACAAGAGGAATAAACAAGCCAATCCTAATTTGGGCGATGTTTGGGTAAAATCTATTATAGTTGAGTGCCAGAAATGATGAGATGCTTTATTTAAACCACAGAGAGGAAATGTCAGGGTTGCATTGCTCAGTACAGCACAGTGGGAATAGCACACACTCAAAACAAGATCCATTGAAACAAATAGACACAGAGTAAATATGAACAAGGTGTTGGCAAAGAGCTGTACTTCTTAAATATGTAATTGCTATCTCACTACTGGATTCTATTGGTTTTGATCTAATGTTGTACTGATGGCAGAGCAATAAGTCTCAACCCCAGTCAGCAAACGTACAGATTTTTCAACCTAAAAACGCGTCCTCCTTACTCAATGAGCTTAATGGGCTGGCATGTTAGAATGACGCGCTACTCTTTAATTTTTATATAGAAAAATATGAAAACGCACAGCCTCAGTCCTCGTTCTGCAGCCCGAGTCCCGGATCTATAACCTGTGAGTCTGTGGGACCGGATCCTCTTCTCAATGTGGGCCTCCCTCGGGCTTCTCTCTGGGACCTTTTTTAGTTTTTGTTCCTTGCCGTTGTAGATAGGACAATGATGATCCAGGACATTTAAGGACATTTATGGAGTATGTGTATGATTTTCATGTCAAGTCATCATTAAAGGACCCTAATATGTCAAAAGGCATTTATAAACCATGCTCTTTTCAGCTGAGATATTTGGATTTCAAAATTAGTTAACGTTTTCAAATCATTAATGACAAAACAAATAGTAAAACCAGGATTTTTATCTTTGTGGAAAGGGTGTTTGTTATACTGTAGATTTGTTGTTGACAAAACTCTTTTCAGATTTTATGGTCTGGATTTGTTTGCATACCTTGCAATCTGAGTCAGGGATAGTGGGAGACGTTGCAGTACCACTTTTGGCCATATTGCTTGCATATTGCTTCTTTAAGTAATATCACTGGACATTGGTCATCCCATGAACACAAAGCACAACGTAAATGTGAACTTGACACTGTTTTATGGCCCTTTGCATGTTACAGTTGATGCATGTCCATTCACTAGAAAAAATGAACAACATGCTGCATTGTTATTGCTGTTTGTGTCACATTGTTTGTCTGCAGCTAAAGACAAGAGTGAGAAAAACTTTGCAATGGCCTTTGTGCGTCTGATGAAGGAGGACGGGACGGTGCTGCAGGACGGGCTGCACGACCTGGTTGTCTTCAAGGTCAATAAGAACTCCCTCTATAAACAAAATCCGGATGTAGGCAGAAGTCCACCTTTGTATGCAAATGCCCAATTTACACCATAACAACCTTCTGGAATGAGTTTTAAAATGTGACCTGCTCTTTTTATTTCCCAAGACAGAAAAACAAATTGACATTGAGGCTTATGGCACTAACAAACTTGACGACTGTGTGCATGCATGTGTGTGTTTATATTAGGTATGTATTGTTTTATGCTGCAGCAATCTACAACAATCATCAATGAAATCCTCATCAGCACATCAATAGTGGAGGAGCCCATCACAAAATACCAGGAATCATCCATACTGCTCAATATGGCGAGAACGATACACAAATACAACATACATAGGATAATGTGGTGTGATAAACAATATATTGTGTTGTGGCAACATATATTTAAACAAATCTTATTATTTTTGTATGGCAATTATTATTACCTAATTTATTGTTTATTGTACATCTACAGAAATTTTAGGTGACTTATGCTAGCTTATGGCCATTAACATTGGTACAAAACAGATTTAGATAATACGTATTCACATAATTTTACAGGTACACGCACAGATGTAACCACATAGCAGTGATCTGAACTGCTGATTCATAAGAGACATATTATTGTTACAAGTTCTGCATTATATTGCAAAGAGCTGTATTGTTTCAGCCCGACTGCTTATGATTCAGTCACAAAGTTTGTTGAAGAGTTGCAAAAGGGTAAGCAAACAATGCCAGCTGGGAGTAGAAGAAAATTGCAATGCTTTTGTTTCATAAAATGTATAATGAATGCTTTTAATATTGGTGGTAACTTCTGAAGGGAGATAAATTCATAGTCAGTTGTAAATGAGAGGGCATCTAAGAATGTCTGAAAGAATGCGGATAAAAGTAAATATGCTCAATGAGATGATAGCTTTCATTTTCACAGCTTGGCAGTGATTTCATTTGTGTTATTTGGAAAACCAAACCTACAGTAATTTGTGTTTGGTTGGGAGATTGTGGCCACCCATCCAGGTTGACTGAAGCCAAATAGATTTGCTGCCAAACGAAGCCGAGCTGAGATTGAATCCTGTATTGATTAAACGCCAAATGCAATAAAGATTAATTACAAATGATTCATTCAAAGACTAACTAGATAGACCTCTGCTGCCCTCTTTCCTAAATCTCTCTCTTAGTCTCTGCATAATTCTCATAGCAATCGTCACTTATAACCTGTCACATTTGTCCACCTTTATTGACTGAATAGAAATGTAGGACCATTTACAACTTCCATCGAAAGTAGACCTGGAGTTGCTTTTAGCTTCATCCATGCTCCTTTTCTTCTGATAACTTCTGACACAAACACGTTGCTCGTCCTTTTTGTCTAAATGGCCCTGTCTCAAAGCCTTTTCACTCTGAAATCATAGTACTGTAATGATTCATCAGGGACATGTTTTGCCTCATATTTTTATTTTTTACTTTATTCCTTCCAGCCAAGTGGCTTGTATTCTGAATTTGTTAGAATTCTTTTATAAACACAGTTTGAACAGCCAAAGCAAAACTGATTCTTCAATATGATATCAAGAGGGATTATATCATAGTATGAAATGAGAAAATGTCTCAAATAGTATAACTGTTGTTCTTTAAAAAGGCAGATTAACCAGAGCTATTTTGAATCAGATTCTAATATCCCCACAGGGAGACAGCAAGCGCATGGAAGACGTGTCGTCCTACTTGTCATTGCCATCCACCCGTCATCACCACGGCGACCTCCACAAGGGCGCAGCACTGAGTCGCAGCTCCAGCACTTTGTCCGGCAATGCTGGGGGCCTCTCCGTCAGCTCCAGGGACAGTTTTACCATCTCCACCTTGGTTTGCTCCACCAAGCTCACACAGAACGGTACACACACGATAACATCGGCTGTTAACTGCAGCTCTGTGAAGTTTATGCTCCATGACAGTTTGGGCTCATTACATCAAACATTGATTTTATTAGATTTATAGAATGGTATATGGGCAACTGGTGACACTCAAGCTCCTCAGCTGTTTAATTTTGTTAAACATTTTAGTGAGAGGGCCACTGACTTGTCCAGGTGCCAACAACAGGGATCGTAAACCTGTTCCATATTAATTCACACCACAGCTACATTAGAAGTAGTTAGTTCTGAAGTACAACTCTTGGTACTTGCTCGGTCAAATATTTTCTTAGTTGGCACTTTAACAATCAATCCATCAATCAAATGTTATTCATATTGCGCTTTTCATGCAGATACAAACTGATTTACAGTTTGGTTAAAAACAATCCAATATGCCCATGGCCCTTCACCCGACACGCACACACACACACGCACACACACACACACGCATGCACACAGTACTGTGACACTAGTTTCAACTGTGATGCTGTGAATAAAGACGCAGTTCTTGTTGGAAACATAGTTATTATTAAAGTGTATTCAGCACAAACAGCAAAACCATAAGTGATAAATATCTGAGACAAAACATGAACTATTTACAAGTGCAGGATGAATGCAACGAACGAGATAAGCTACAAGCGCAGGTTCAAACAAAGACAGGTGCAGGAACAGTGCAACAGAAACGACTGTACAGTATATAAATGTTCGATATGCGAGTCCACAGCCTCCTTGTAAATCAGGCTCTGAGTCATGAGCAACTGCAAGCTCATTGCCACGCAAGTATACACAGGGCTTTAGGGCTGGTTTCAGATGTAACCAGCTGAAGAGGCGCCATCCAAGGGGCCGTTTGCACCAGGAGCAGAGAGCCGCTGGAATAATTGAAATATATGAAGCAGGAGAATGGAAGCATATGGCAGTTCTCATATTGAAAGTTGCAATATAAGATTCAATTAAGATTTTTGGGTAACGCTTTATATTAAGGTGTGCTTGTTAAGTATTAATAAGGTATTAATAGACATTAGCAACATGCTTATAGATTGCTTATATGTACTTATAAACATATTAATAAGCTGCTCATTTCACTTTCCTTAAATGATGTTGTTCTAGTTATATGCTTTTAAGCATTTAATAAGTAATTAGTAAGATACTTATTAAAGGAGGAATATGTTTATAAATATATGAATAAGCTGCTTATTAAACTATTATCGATACCATGTTAATAGGCCACTAACAATATGCCTATAAAGATATTAATACGCTGCTTATTAATAGGCAATAGTGGTAATCGGCCACTAAAAATATGCGTTAATAAACTGCTTATTACACTATTTTGCAGTACCTTAATCTAAAGCGAGGAGCATTTTTGTTAATGCAGAAAAAAACACAACAATGATCTAAGATGTTTTTATTTATTCAAACAGCAACAATTAAAGTCTAAATGAAAAAATATATCAAAATTAAGTTTGTGCCAAAAGTTTGTTAGTAACTTCAAGGAGCCATGATGAACCCACTCATGCTCCGACCTGCTCTGTTCATGAATTTGGCTTTGGCAAAACAGTGAATCAACTGACTTCACGAGCCTGAGAGATTAGCGGAACTCGCCTATTTTTGGGCATCGTCTGGTCCTCCCGGTTCTGCGCAGTGGACGAGCTCCCATGATGCTTTGCGCCAAATACGCTTGCGTGACTGTCATGCATGTGCACAGAAGGGCCGTGCTCTGACCAATCAGAGCTGCTGATCAGAGCGAGAGTTAGAGCAGGAGCCAGACGAGTAGAGTTTGTGGCCGTAAAATGTGGATTTAAAGGACAACTCACCCTCAAATCCACTTTTTTTTTTGCTGATAAACGGTATAAATGAGTGTCCAATAGTGTTGTCTACATATCCTGGTCATAATTTTGTCACTTTGGTGCAAATTAGTTGAAAGTTAAACTTTCTGCCTAAAACCATCTGTGAGGCGCCATCTGCTGGTGACATGTATTACTACATTTGAATTTTGAATCTGGCGCCTGAGACCTGACGTCAGCAGCCCCCTGCCCAGAGCTATATAAACGGCCCAGTCTCGTTCACGCCCCCTTCAGTCCTCCAGGCTACGCCCATTTAGAGGAAGATTTGAACAGGAAATGTGAGGGACGTAAGCTCAGAGGAGCGGGGGTGAGAACCACTTTAAAGAAAACTGAAGGATTTAAGAAGAAAAAAAGTTCAGGATGACAAGGGACACTAAAATCCCCAGAAAATCCAAACTTTATGAAAGCTGTGGGTTCTCTGTCAGGTTCTCTGTCAGCTGAGGTCGAGCTGTTTTAATTCACATTGAGTTCTATGGGACTTTTTCTGGGTAGCCCGCATGAATTTAGTCTGCAGTACCACAGCGCCCCCTGTGCTCATGGGTGGGACAGCTATAAGCTAGGAATACACTATCCAGTTATTATTATAGTTCCATGGTTTTGCCACAGGTGCGTTGTATACATGGATCTATTATAATAACTGGATAGGGTATTACTAGCTTGTAGCTCGGGAGATTCTCGTGGTACTGCAAACTAAATTCACGTGGGCTACCCAGAAATTGTCCCCATAGAACTCAATGTAAACTAAAACAGCTCGACCTCAGCAGACAGAGAACCTACAGTATAGCTTTCATAAAGGTCGGATTTTGTGGGGATTTTAGTGTCCCTTGTCATCCTGAACTTTTTTTCTTCTTAAATCCTTCAGTTTTCTTTAAATCCACATTTTACTGCCACAAACTCTACTCGTCTGGCTCTTACTCCCGCTCTAACTCCCACTCTGATCAGCAGCTCTGATTGGTCAGAGCGCGGCCCCTATGTGCACGTGCATGACAGCCACGCACGCGTATTTGGCGCAAAGCATCATGGGAGCTCGTCAACTGCGCAGAACCGGGAGGACCAGACGATGCCCAAAAATAGGCGAGTTCCGCTAATAGGGGTGTGACGATACTTTCTCCCGCGATTCGATTATCAATATGCATTTGCCAAGTATCAAGATGAATTTAAAAAAAAAAAAAAAAATGTTTTTTTTTCTCCTTTTTTTCGTTTTTATTGGTATCAATACTTAATATATGGCTACATTACACATCTCCATTCTATTTATCATGAAATAAAGAGTATTTTTTATTTTATTTATGCCATAAATTGGCATATTGTATATTTCTGACCAATATATCAATAATCGTCATATCGTGATAAAATCGTTATTGTAATCTTTATCGTGAGCTTTGTATCGTGTATCGTATCGTATCGTGAGGTACCCTTAGGTTCCCACCCCTGTCCGCTAATCTCTCAGGCTTGTGAAGTCAGTTGATTCACTGTTTTGCCAAAGCCAAATTCATGAACAGAGCAGGTCGGAGCATGAGTGGGTTCATCATGGCTCCTTGAAGTTACTAACAAACTTTTGGCACAAACTTAATTTTGATATATTTTTTCATTTAGACTTTAATTGTTGCTGTTTGAATAAATAAAAACATCTTAGATCATTGTTGTGTTTTTTTCTGCATTAACAAAAATGCTCCTCGCTTTAGATTAAGGTACTGCAAAATAGTGTAATAAGCAGTTTATTAACGCATATTTTTAGTGGCCTATTACCACTATTGCCTATTAATAAGTAGCGTATTAATATCTTTATAGGCATATTGTTAGTGGCCTATTAACATGGTATCGATAATAGTTTAATAAGCAGCTTATTCATATATTTATAAACATATTCCTCCTTTAATAAGTATCTTACTAATTACTTATTAAATGCTTAAAAGCATATAACTAGAACAACATCATTTAGAGAATAGTGAAATGAGCAGCTTATTAATATGTTTATAAGTACATATAAGCAATCTATAAGCATGTTGCTAATGTCTATTAATACCTTGATAATACTTAACAAGCACACCTTAATATAAAGCGTTACCGATTTTTGTTTTGTTTTACCATGAATCATTCATTATGTTTCATTCTTTGGTTTAAATTGACTTTAAAGTAATAATCCAAAAAGTAAACTGTTGCTGCCAGAGGGAAGAGTCTTTTTTTCATCATTAAAAACTTTGGCTTGACTCGACACAAAGTGACTGTCCTCCGTCTGAGTGCTTAGTCACACATCCGCCCAGGTACAGGTGCTCCAGAACAGCTGCTGTACGGTGGAAGCCAGTCCATCACAGTAATGAACATTTTCCTGCAATATTAATCACCTGTACGGCTGGATCAGACACTCTCACGCACAGACACACACACACACACACAGCCGCACACACACACACACACAAACGCTTACCACCTCTAACGCGTTCGCATTGTGACCGCCACCAGATGTGCTCCTTTGGCCTGAAGCGACTGAAGTGGACGCCCTGACTGTAGAGTGGCCAGGCCTTTGGAGACGCAAACAGGCTGCGTGTCAGACTTAAGAAGATTTAATATCTGCAAAACAAATGTAAAGGATTTTGGAGCGTGACTGGCAATTCCATAAGGGAAAATAATTGAAGCGATTGTACTTGTTGTGCAGCATCTATAGAGACATTGCATAAAAGGAAGAAGGGTTGAATACCATTGATGTGTTTGAACTGGGAAGATGTATTTGTATAGCACACGGATACAATTATATGCAACTTGATGTGCTTACCAACATTAAAAATCCACTAGAATGACAGTCCGAGGCACCCAGTGTTGGAGCACACTGTATGTAATTTAACTCATTGAGTGCCAGCCTTGTTTCAACACCTTGGGTTTAGAATGCCAGCCATTATGTCAATTTTTCCTGATATTTGCAAAGCCACAGCATATTCTGTGTTACTGCCATAATCACATGCTATAACGCGTTTGAAAGGTGAGGCTTTGAACTTCCAGATGGTGAAAACCTTCCGTTTTTACCAGCTTTTGCCCCTGAGATGTCCCAAGCAAAAATGGGAAACTTTAATGAAAATCCTTGTGAATTTCCTGGAAAAGGACATAGAGACCCTTTTATGAAATATGATTTTTTTTGAGGTTGTAGTTCTTCTGACACATACATTTCTGTGTCCACGGACATTTATGAGATAGATATATCTTATAGGCCTGGGATAGGCTACAAAAAAATGCATTTATAAAGGAATTATTCAATCTATATAAATATTTATACCTCCTTTACAAATTTGATCCATATATCGATTTGTTGCAACAACAACAATACAAATGTAAAATTAGAATATACATTTTTATTTGTAGGAATATAATACAAAATAAAATAAAACATAAAAAGTCCTCCGCTTTTTCGCAGACAGCGGCAGGAATACGCGACCGCTAACATGCACGACTCGGTTGGTCCTGATTTGTCCCTATCTCTTACTATTCTGCTCGGACCAGCCCGTGGTGATCTTTCAGCCTGAGCGCCTGCCTCCTGAGAACCTTCCTCCTGTGCACGAGTCCCTAAAGTTGACTCACTTCTTCGGTGTAAAAAGCGCTCATCAAGAGTGTCTGGCGGATGCGCACAGACTTTTTTTGATACTTTTTCCTCATCTCTGTCAGCAGCTAGCGAAACAATGCATCAGTGTGAAGTTTCTGCTAAAGGATGAATCAAGACTGCCACCTAGTGACAAACCCACGTAAATATCTTTTTTGACTTCGACCAGGATCACTATATGAGGCAAAGCGGCAACCACTCAAAGCTGCGTTATGAACAATAAATAAATAGATCGTCATGTAAGCAGTTAAATTTATCATAGCATTCCCAAATTTGCACACAATGTGTGTCAGAGTGTCTACGTTCAAAATGTAGAAAAAAAAGCCTTTCCATAAAATTACGTTTGTGGCACTCAATGAGTTAAAGCCACCCTGTTTAATTTTTAACAACAAATGTGACCTTTTTAAGAATATTTACCTCCACCATGTTTTTTGAATTGTATTCATAGGCTTAGAATTTAACTTATAAGTGTCCATGAGAGAGGAGTGCTCGCCACGTGAATGTGCCATCTTGGAAAACGATGGTGGATAAAAACGGATGCAAGAAACGCGTTTTTGTTTCACATGAGCTACTGATATCGTTGCTTTCACCGTGCCTTCACAAGTTGGAAGAAGGAACCATGTAGGACCACAGTTATATAAAAGAACCATGGAGGACCACAGTTATATAAAAGAATCATGGAGGACCACAGTTATGGAAAAGAACGATCCGAACAACAATCTTTTAGAAAAATAATTATGCAGAAGTCCAGCGTCATAGCAGCATAGCAAGTGTCAACATTGCAAACCACACGCACAAAGACAGCGTTCACACAACGGGAGGCACATCGTGTAGTTTGTACACAACAGACTCACCCGTGAACAATACGTAACTTTTTTCACACTGACAATAATGAGAACGAGGCAGAATCTGCAACAGTCTCAGGATGTTCTGACCCGATCCGAGCGCAGTCCAACTACTGTCACAAGTTTCAACTACTGTAAACTTATTCAGGGACAAGCCTCAAATAAATCACACACAGAATCCCCACAAAACAATCGTCAGAATACTTTATCAGCAGCGTGAGTGAATGTTTTTCTTACCGTGACGCAGATGCGGCGCTGTGGCTAACGCTAATGCTAACATGAGCTTTTAGCCACGTCCTGCCGCGGCTTCTTTGATCATCGTAGTTTTAAGCTCCCGTAGACGGTAATCCTCTCTTCACACCGCGTTTGTAAAACTATGCATTATAATAGATCCATGGTAAAACTCAGTAGAGCCTCTGTGCAGGGTGCCACGTCTGAACGTGGTCTTGTTTACAAGTCGCCTCAATGCGACTGTCAAGTGCCCGAGACGTTTGGAGAGATCCGGTCATTTATCAAACTAAAGAATTCTTTCCTTGGCAGTCTGGTCAATGAGTTGAGGAGCACTGTCTCAAAGGCTTCCCTATAATGGACTGCAATATTAGATCTCAACGCTAGATGGCACTAAACATTACACAGTTTACCTTTAAGAGTACAGTATTCGATTTACGAGGAGTGTAATGATAAAAGGCTGATTTTCCTACAGTGAGAAAGTCACAATCCAAGGATCATGAAGGGGCTCCACTCACTCGGGCTATTGACAACATTTGAATATTGATATTGATAAGCGTTGAGATTATAATTAGATTTGAAATATTATTTGATACATATATAATGTATTATTCAGTGGATAAACTTCTCCAGGTGTCCAAAGACATCATAATTGTGGTGAATTGGACAAAATGAACTGAGAATCCACACTAATTGCATGTGTCAGTTAAGCTATTTTGCTATTTCCTATATGGGTCAAATGCAGATCAAGTTTGCACGAGACTACAGTGAGGTTAAATAAGACTTTTTGATCCTATTTTTATGAGATTCCTCTATGATAAAGCTTGGGTATTTTATCATTTGAGAAGGTCTTAAATTATTGCAGCTTTTGCAATTTTCTATTGATTTGGAATTGATTGATGTTCAAGATGTCTTTGAACAATAAATACATTATTATAGTAATTGATGTAAAACAGACAAGATGAATGTCAAGAATAGCTACAGTTCACCTTTTGAATGTTTTTATCCTATAGCTGCCTGCAGTGCAGTACAGGAATCCCATCTATATTTACACATGCTGCTGGATGACTTGCAACGTCCTTACTAATGATCAATCCACATTTTGTCTGTACAGTTGGTTTGCTTGGTTTGCTGAAGTGGAGGACTCACCCAGAGCTTCTTAAAGACAACCTTGAGAAACTGAAAATCATTGATGGTGAAGAGGTAGTGAAGGTCAGTGAGCTCGTACATGCATGAAGCCTGCACCACACTTACACACTACACTTTCCCCAACTCTCCTCTGGTGTGCTGTGCTTGTAGTTCCTGCAGGACACGCTGGACGCCTTGTTCAACATCATGATGGAGCACTCTCAGACTGATGACTATGACATCCTTGTGTTTGATGCCCTGGTGAGTGAATGAGATGGCACTTATGTATTTACCAGTATGGAATAGTGTCGGTATAGATTTACACATGTCTTTTACTGCATTTTTCAACACACTCTGTTTTCCCAGATACATATTATAGGGCTCATCGCTGATAGGAAGTTTCAACATTTCAACACAGTGCTGGAGGCGTATATCAAGCAGCATTTCAGCGCCACACTGGCGTACAAGTATGTCCCTCAGATGTCTGATATATTCTTTGAATCTTGAAACACTAAAGCAAATTCATGTTTGAGTGTAGCAAATGTATCTTTAATTATAATCTTGTTTTTGACACCAAAAGTACATAATTAGGGAATGATGATTCTGATTAAAGTTTTGCGTTGCGTTTGCTTTTATTGTCTATATTCATTGGCTGCCTCGCATAAAAAACAGTGTTAGCATTATTTGTTAGCATCTTTGGCTAGTTATCTGTGATCTTGTTACCTTAGATAAAAAAGACAGACATGATCTTATATGGGGGGGAAATGTGTTTGCTAAATTGTTATTCTGGTGATCAGATTAGAATCTCAAAAATCTGGGATCAGTTACAAAAAAATCTGTTTCCTGTTTTGTTTTGCCTGACTCTCGCCAGACCCTTGTAGTTTGCTGAGCTTCACACAAGAGTCTGAGATTTCTCAATAGGAGATGTATTTCAGAAGGCGGGGCCTTGTAAAAAAAAAAGTATTTTATTGGATAAACCACTTTATACTACTTCAACCACTCACATCGAAGCACACGACTCCTCACTGCGGAACAGGGTTGCCAGATGCTGGCAAGAATTTCCAGCTCAGAACCCGGGGCTAAGTTTTGATTCTAGACACAACTGAAATGTCCCAATAGTTTTGTAATACACTAGACGTTTGCACTTTAGCTCACAACATTCCTCTAATGTTTTGCACCTTAAAATGTTGTCATTCTATCATCATTCTTACATGTTCACAAAAACCTTACTACAAACGCCACATTGAAACTGGGGGAAAACTGTGTGTGCAATTTTAATGGCTATCTCCATGCATCAGTTTTCTTCTATGTTAAAGCACGCACACAAACACTTGATAAAGGTGGCTTTTAAGGTTATGCATAGAAAGATCATGCTTATACAGTCGCTATATTTTAATCACACCCACTCAGACGGGCCGCTAAAGAAACAAAAAAAAGTTGTACATGTGTTTGTACATAGCTGCCTCACCATTCATCTGGCAAATCCAAATCACAGTAAAAAGGTACATCTGCGGCGCTGCGCAATACAGTACCAGTGCAGGAGGAGGCCAATTTGTTTCCTGCCTTCTCCTGCTTTTCAATCACACTTTTATTTTCAGTCTTCTTTGCTCCGTCGTCTGCCCCCAAAAATAGATGTCTTTTTGTCCCAATTTTCACTTACGATTTTGCCTTCATTGTTGAACCTTGTGTTTGATGTTTTTTGTTCCCTGTAAATTTTTTGGTATATAGTTCCATCATGTGCTTTTCCTTGCAGAAAGCTGATGTCTGTGCTAAAGAGATACCTGGATGTGTCCTGTCGAGGGGAAGAGTGTGAGCCCATCCTCCGGATCCTGAAAGCCCTCGAGTATGTCTTCAAGTTCATTGTGCGCTCGCGGATGCTTTATTCACAGTAAGTGTGGCAACAACTTACTCATACAAACCTATGCATTACAGTAAGACAGATATTCTCTGATCTGTTGTTGAGGTACTGACTTTGTGAAGTCCCCCAATACGACGGCTTTGATTTAGAGCTGAACAAATTACATTGAATTGAAATGGAATATTGGGGCAAAAGTGGCTCAGTTGGATAAGCATTGGCCTTTGGGCCTCAAGGTCGTGAGTTTGATCCCCCCACAAGACCTACTCCAACTGCTCCCACTCATGTCTGCTGTCGTTGTGTCCTTGGGCAAGACACAATCCCCACAAAATCCGACCTTTATGAAGGCTGTAAGTCCTCTGTCAGCTGAGGTCAGGCTTTTTTAGTTTACATCGTGTTCTATGGGACATTTTTCTGGGAAGCCCATGTGAACTTTCTCTGTAGTATCACGGGTGCCCCCTGTGCTCATGGGTGAGACAGCTATAAGGTGCTTAAACCTTTGTTGGAACCAAATTAGCTTCTGCTTCCTCTGAACCCTTTAAACTGTATAGTGTTTATTTTTTGGAATGTGTTTATTTTTTGGTGTTCATAACTTTGATAAATAAATGACTATATATCGGTATACATGATCCTTCGGTTCAAAATTCATGTCACGTTACTCAAGATTGACCGACAATTAGAATTACATTTTTCAATTTCAAGCACAGTGCTAGACCAGGGACACAGAAAACTTTACGGAAGTCGGACTAGCGCCTCCGAAGCCACTTCCAACCCCTCACTCAGCGCATTCTTCTTTCTAATAAAGATTAAATTACTTTTAGAATCTCTTCATGCAATTTATATTTTTTTTTCAATGACTAAGTCTGTGAAAATATAGTTTTGTTTGACAGGAATCTCTCAATTCTCAGTTTTCTCTGTTGTGCTCTTACTGCAGACCTGTCCTCGCAGCACAGTGACAGTGAACCTTTCAAAGTAATGCTTTTTGACGCCCCCTGAGAGCAAGCTGCTGATTACAGCTCTAATGTCCCTAATCAGCATTGTTGATAAAGTGCAGTGGTGTAGTAGAGCTAATGATGGGGCAGGATGCTGAATGAGCAGACAGTGAAACACCACGCAGACGGACCTCCAACACCAGAGACTTATGACAGTCCTGGTGCTGCGCCAAGAGCTGCACCACTCGATAAATGTAAACACCATATATAACCGCAGCTCACAAACTGATGCTGACAAATCAAAACCACAATCTACTCTTTTATCTTATATCTGCCTCTGGGTCACGCCAGCCTTCTCCAGCCAAAGACTCCAGTGCAGTCAAAATAGTGGCTGTGGTGTGGCATAAACAAAATGTGAATCTCTCCTAAAGGTAAAGGATTTTTATTTTTTTCTTGCAATTGTTTTCATTTACCTATGTTTTGTATGATGGGGGAACTGGAGTGCTCGGAGGATACCGACCTAGACACAGTGAGAAGCAAAAACTCCATACGGAAAGGCCTGGGTTGATCGAACCCTTTATGCTATAGAAGTACGAGTGCTCCCCACTCAGCCAATGCAAGTGGCATACTTATTTTCTCCTTACAGTATAGTCTCCCCAATGCATGATCGGTCAATTTTTATTTGTGATCCAACCTGAACAAAAGCCCCCTCGCTTGCTCTCCCGCCAGCAGTGGGTGATGAGTTTTGTGGATATTGTGTATTTTGAAAAGTGAGTACTAAAGGGAGAGCCATCAACGTACGGTAGACCATCTAAGTCACCCAAATACCCACATGTGAGGACCTTTAAGCCTGGTTCACACGAGACGATTTTAAAATTGTCTGCCGATTTTTCTCCGTGTTAGACCCCACACGGGGAGATTAAAAATCCTGCGTCTAACCACTTTGGTCGTGCAGTGTGTGGTGCGTAGCCACACGGCAAGATCACGCAAGCCACAAACATCACACACGAACTGACACCCCCCTCCGAGCATTCCCAGGTCAGACGGAAATCTCACAAAATCTCTCGAGATCAAGCGTGACTTCAGAGTAAACAGTCATGGCGGACGAAGAGGATGCAGTGGCGATAGTGTGCAGTTTGTTGTTAACAGAGAAGACACGTAATCCAAAGAAAAGGCAATGGTCAAAGCCATGCTGCTGTGTTTTGGTTTTTTTCCGGTGTTTCCTCACCGGCTTGTCACCTCGTCTTCTTATTGGCTACACGCCGTAGTCATGGCAACGCGCTCGCTTGTCCTCGGAGGACACCACACACGACAAGAAATCGGGCCAAAACAATCCAACATGTTGGATATCCCCGATTTGAGATCGGGAGCAGTCCCGATGTCCTTCCGAGCGACGAGTGCAGTCTTAACACACCACACACGGCAGGATAATCTGTAAGATTTTGTTACGGAAATCGGAGCGTTTCTTAAGATTGTCGTAAGGGGTAAATCGGGTCTAAATCGGCCTAAATATCCTGCCGTGTGAACCAGGCTTTAGTTATTTTCTGAATATTATAATACCCTACAGCCAAATGCAAACATTAAAAGAGGAACATGCGTTTTGGTTTCTGCCCTGAACATTTGTGTGTGTGTGTGTGTCTCTTGCCATTTTTGTGTATGTTTGTGAACTTATCTTTCCTGTTCTCTGTGCACAAGCAACACATACTTTCCTTATTCTGCTTTGACTCTTTTCTCCTTTTAACTATTTTGTGAATATAAAAAACATTTTTGAAAACAAAACTTGAGTTGGCTGTCACATACTCTCCATATTCAGTCTATATTTCTTGACGCTGAGCTCTGGAAGTATGTGGGACAGTTGGAGCAAGTGCACTTTCCTTCACCTCTCGACTCTGTCCTTCACGCTCCAGCTTTTTGTTGGATGAGTTTATGTAGGCTGGATCACGTTTACTTCCCTAAAGCATCAAAGTGCTCTCCTTTTCTCTTTTATGCTCGCTTCTTGTGTCTGCTCTTCATCACCCTTTCTGGAGCTTAAATTATTTCCTCAGTATGCTCGAAAGGAAGAAAAATAGATTATCTTTCTTTCAATATTTTTGATTTAGATTTTCTCAGTGATTTCAGCCTCTGCTCATTCATCTTCTTAGACTCCTTAGCCTTATTCAGATATTCAGATACTTTATTGATCTGCGCATTCACGCATGCACATAGAGGAAGACAGTTCCCCACTACACTTCTTAAACTACCCATATATACTTACAGACTCGTGAAGTACTTTAACACACCCAATGCCAAAAAGAAAACTTTACTTTTAAAACATTATTACCAAAATAGTTGTGAACCCTATGATGAATATAACGGACAATATGAGGATCTCAAACTCATGAAAACAAGAACTTCAGAATGTATAATTTAAAATGTGCTAATCTCGCAGGTGTTAACATTTGTCTTTATCCAACTGAAGTTTTTTCAAACACGAAGCAACATGGACATGATGTCAGACCTCATTCTCTTACTTTTGGACACCCCTGGCTTACACCTTCTGAGACCTTAAAGTTTTACCTTTCAAACGTGACCTGCCTCGATAGCTACATAGAAAACTGTGTCTACAATAATTGTCCAAATTGACCACGATTGCTGGCATTATGGGCCAAAAACCCAACCAAAGTACAGTAGTTACTGAATTACAAGTAGTAATAATATAATAATAATAATAATCTTTATTTGTATAGCACTTTTAAAAACAAACAAAACAAACTTTTAAAAGTAAACTAATCCCATTAATTTGAAAGACAACAATGCAAAATAGACACATGTCCTCTGTACAGTGGCACTGTACATATATATAGCATATACAGGTCTGTATCCACCATTGGGGGCGGGTCCCGGTGTAACAGGTCGTTTTAAACCCCCTGGCCAGTTTACACCCCAGGGTTAAAATAGCCTAGGCCAGAATTTACCCCCTCAGATTAACTCCATGCATCCACTTACTTATCACATGTTTCATGTGATAACTCATCTTATGGTGCTTTCACACCGGATCACGCGTTGCGTCAACTTTCAAAGCAAAGTGAATTGTGACACGGACTGCGCGGTAGAGATGCAGGAACTGCGCGGCAGAGGCGCAGGAGCGGATAATCAACGCACGTCGCACGCAGAGATAAATATTGCTGAAAGTTTCCTCGGGGCGCATATGCAGCGACCAATCAGAGAGCCGCAAAGTGGTCATGGGGACATTAGTCTGAGCAAGCAGACTGAACATACTGTAAACAGCCAAAACAGGAGCTTCATCAGGACTAAACCAGCACTAAACCAGGACTAAACTAGGACTAAACCAGGACTAAAACCAGGACTGAACCAGGACTAAACCAGGACTAAACCGGGACTAAAACCAGGACTAAACCAGGGTTGACAATGGGGACTTAGTGTTTGTGAACATATGAGTTTTCATGCTCCCTTGACTTTATGCAACTGCTTCGAGAGTGTTCGCCGATGCGGAAGTACCGTTTAATAATAAAATAAACGTATTGCGCACCTCGCACCTCGTGAATACATACTACTGTTATATAAAGTCTGTGAAGGTCTCAGACACAGAGACGGTGCAGAGCTGCATTATTGGAGAAGATCTTTGCACAAAAAGCCGCTGGCTTAACTCCGTTAGCATCAAAGTCCACCCGCTACTTCCGCCATTTCCGGGGCCACCACTGGCCAGGACTTCTGGTGTGAAGACCCCTGCGTCTGAAAATTAGAGAATGTGCGTCTGGTGCGCGAGGCGTCAGCGTTCCAGTGTTGGCGGTGTGAAAGCACCTTTAGAACTTTTGAGTAAATATGAATTATGGGAAAATGACACCGATGCTCCGGAGCGTGTGTCAAAACAACCGTGACAACTGTGTTAGTGTATCGGACTCTGCAGCCGCTGCTTCACTTCTTCGCCTCCTCAACGGTGTCTGTGTTGAAGAGTCTCATTAGATCATGGAAGAGTTACATTTTGAATGCACTCGCTAAATCAATGGGACTCATGCCGGCTGATGCATGCTTAAATGCATTGTTTCACATTTTTCAAGTTTCAACACCGGATATAGGCGTGAGAGTCTATGGTATCCACTCTGGTCACATCCCTGGTCACATCACGTGTGACCCATATGTTCCAAACACACATGTGCCTTACACTGTCCACAATTAAAGGCCACCCTGAAATGTGCAGTTCTGTCTGCACATTTCAGTCTGCAATGTCAACCAGATCTGTTGTTCGTGCATTGAATGTTAATTTCTCCACCATAAGCCGTCTCCAAAGGCACTTCAGAAAATATAGCAGTACATCCAACCGGCCTCACAACCGCAGACCACGTGTAACCATAGATCCATCATCACCTCATGTTTCAGCAAGATAATGCACGGCTCCATGTTGTAAGGACCTGTACACAATTCTTGGAAGCTGAAAATGTCCCAGTTCTTGCATGGCCAGCATACTCACTGGACATGTCACCCATTGAGCATGTTTGGGATGTGCTTGACAAGCGTATACGACAGTGTGCACCAGTTCCCACTGATATCCAGCAACTTCACACAGCCATTGAAGAGGAGTAGACCAACATTCCACAGGCCACAATTGACAATCTGATAAACTCTATGCGAAGAAGATATGTTGCTCTGCATGAGGCAAATGATGGTCACACCAAATACTGACTGGTTCTGAGTCCCCAGACCCCCAATAAAGCAAAATTATGCACATTTCAGGGTGGCCTTTTATTGTAGACAGTCTAAGGCACACCTGTGCTCTAATCATTATGTCAGATCAGCATCTTGATGTGGCACACCTGTGAGGTGGGATGGATTATCTCAGCAAAGCAGAAGTGCTCACTGTCACTCATTTAGACAGATTTTTGAACAAATCTGGGAGCTGAGTGTATATATATATATATAATACTTGGGGAGGCTGCTTTTCAGATTCATGCTGCTAAAATCTGGAACAATCTTCCTGAAGATGTGAGACAGGCCTCCTCTCTGACAATGTTTAAAACGAGGTTAATAACAGTTCTGTTTGGCTGTGCATACAACTGAGGGATTTTATATTTTTATCTTTCTTTTTAATGTTCTGTAATTATTTATTATTTTGATGCTATCTTGTTCAGCACTTTATGTTGCCTTGTGTATGAATTGTGCTATACAAATAAACTTGCCTTGCCTCACTTGATTTGTTATTTTTAGGGCACTTTGTTGATTTGTGAAATACAAATAAATATGTCTTCTTGTAGGACTATAGAAAAAACAATGTTGAATGGGCTACATCCTCATTACATTGTGCTGGAGAACTATGTACCGTTGGACTGGATTAGACGGGACAATCAGAACTGTACCCTGTGAAAGCCAGTGATAATACCTTGTGTTTTACCGCCTAATCCTATCCCACTTGCTAAATTCAGCATGTGGTAATCCCCCCTTCTAGCACTCATAACTCCCATTATAATTAATGGACACACAGCGTCATGGAATCCCAGTGAGATAGTGAGGACAATGGACACTTCACAGGTGGAGAGAGAGGGCAAGTTAAGTGATGGAGTATTGGGACGTGATTTATCGAAGCTAAAAATACATATATTCACATTGTTTCAACCATGATTCTGCCAAAGTCAAAGATTTATGCATTTCCGTCAGATTCTCTCCTCTTTTATTGCTACTTCACCTACTCTTATACCCCGCATGTCGCGATATACCGATATGAAGATTTACTTTCATATCGGATTCCTCTCTGACACTTTCCCTTGAATATCTTTATAATTATTTGTTCCCTCTAGGCTGTATGAGGGTAAAGAGCAAACCGAGTTTGAAGACTCTCTGAAAAGCCTGTTTGAATCCATCTACAACTTGATGAGGACCGATTACACAACCAATCTGCTTAACAGGGTACAAGCTTTATTTGCATCCACATGTATTTCTGTATTTCTATAAAGGTTTATAAGCTCCTTAGAGTGTCTTTTAATCACATAACTATTGCCCTGATAATGGCTTTGATTCAGAAATAGTCTGTGCCTTTGTAATGTACATATTTTAGATGTAGTATTTATATTTCTAACACACACACAAACTTTTAAAGGAATTAAATAACAGGGAAATAAACAAAAAATACAGGAAAATACATTTATAATTGTTATTTTGATGATTACTGACTAAACTGTGTTTTTAATTTTATAACCCAGGCAAATTACTAGCACCACTGAACTCCAAATATTACCCCCCTGTATACTTTTTCCCAGTGTTATAATGTATTTGCTATTAAAATAATAATACAAAAAAGTAATTCCAATATATCAATGTGTCTCGACAGCTTGCTGCTTTGAAATACCTACCCACAGTGCTCCAAGATGTCGAGAAGGTTTTTGATGGCAAACTGCTCAGGTAAGCCTCAGGCCACTGTCTTCCTCAAGCAGAATTTTCCCTCATAATAATAATTAAAGTATTAGAGTTACACCACGAAAGTAATGCATCCAATCATTACATTCTAAAGAAAGAAGATAAGGAATTGTTTTTGGCCATTAGAAGGATGAGACCATTTTTGTTATTTCATTTTTTAGAAGAATATTTTAAGTATACGGTTAATCAAGTATGAAGGGTAACCATGATTTCTGTCTGTAACTACCTGTTTATTGATTTATTCTATTTGTTTATTTGAATGGGGCAGGCTACAGAAACACTTTATTAATAAAGACATTGAAAGTAGGTTTATAAAAACAGCTGCATAACACAACAACAGTTTATTTCTTTTGGATTTTATCAAAATGTGAAAGCTAACAAGTGCTAACACAACCATGTATTTTTTAAAAATATGGAAAAGTTATTTAGGGGAAATACATTTGATTCAAAAGGCAAACAAGGCTGAGTTTGAAGCCATAGTGGTAAAATGACATCCTACATCAACCATATCCTTTTAGATGATCACATTTTTGTGCCAAAAATTCCTAATATCAGCAAGGATGGATTAAAAAACTCCAGGTCTGGGTTTTGACGAGAATGAATATTGTTACATTATTTAAAAAGCTAAAAAATGTTGAGTCAGCATTATATGTCTCTTTATAAATCATCATTTATTAGTTAAATGTATTAAATTGAGGCCTCTTTTTGACACAGCCAAGCAATTCACAAAAATGACCTCGCTCCAGATTTGAAGTGCAAGCGTCCACATGGAGACCAAAAACAATGCAGTTCTGGCGCTTGACCTGTGAAACTTTTCAACCTGACATGCACAAAACCCACCGGTATAAGCACTTCCTCAACCAGTTCCTCAGGCCACCACAAAGACATGAAAGAATGCACTAGCATCATTCTGCATTTAACACGAGCAGCAAAATGGCATTTACAGCTTAGCGTGGTTTTGTTTAGACGGACGAAGGAGAAGAATTGGTCCTCAGTTTAACGCTAGAAGCACACGTAGCATAAGTGGTGAGGTCATCCCAGCCAGAGAATTCACATCTTTTTGTTCACACACATTTGCAGTGTATCTGTTTTGTTTCACTCTGGAAGCCGTTTCTCAAAGCCAATCCGATAGCTATCTATTCGTTTTACTGTTGCAGCGTCTCTGTGTAAACGTGGCCTAAATTTACTTTGCAATTGGAGCCACTGACCTGTCCTCTCCGCTGTTCTTTAGTTGCTCACCCCTCACTGCCCTGTGTCTTTGTTCTTCATTTGCAATATTCACATCTGCCAAAGCACCTCGGCACATGAAAACACGCTGACACCGCATCACAGAGGTGCTATTGCCAACACCTGTCCAGAATCGCCAGGCTGGAGTCAGCTTGTTTCTACTCATACAACTCGTCTACTTATGATTGTTTTAGTGCAGACCGGGGCATGCAAACGCACCACAAGCCTGAACTTAAAAGCAACCCTTTTGAAACTTTGATCAAAAGTGCCCAAGGCTAAAACAAGTGCTATGAATACCAATCGCAGGGTTAGAGGTGGACATCAAAGCCGTGTTGTAGTCTTCTGTTGCCTGTTTAGGAGGATAAACTCACAACTACTGTATGTTGTAAGTATGCTCAAAGGGTACAACACTCTATGAATGTTGTGTTTCATTTCATGTGAAAGTAAACTTTTCTGTGATATGCAAATGACCATGTAAAATCTTGGAATCTAACAGTGCTTCTTAAAGTTGCAGGGCCTTTAGCTGGGGTGGTGGATTTTTAAGCTTGTTCCCACTGTGGCCCCATGGGTTTTTGATGCGTGTTGAAATGCTATGTCAATCTAGGACTGTCATGTTGTTTAGGCATTTTCACTACAGAGAATACAAGAATGTGTCAGAATAAAGAGTCAAAACAAACTTCTGACTTTCAAAAACAGTTGCACGAGAAGGCGGTGCAAACCCGACGTTACACCGACGATCCTGATTGGCTGATTATTTTTTGATATCCTGAAGGAGTTTGCATTGGCGTCGACCCCAGACCCTTGTGTTCAGCCAAACGCCTCTGGTGGATCATGGCAGAACTACAAGGGTCTAGCGAGAGTCAGGCTAGTGTACCCCAGTTGATTTGGAAAGCACATATTTTGCACACCTTGCATGTTGCACGCTGTATATGTGCTAGGGCTTTGAATTTTGCACAAAAATCATATTCGAAGTTTGTTTGTTTATTAATTTAGATATTAGAATATATTCAAATACAACTGATTTTAATGTCAATTCAAAACGTTCTACCAATCATTTTTTCTTGACAACAGAACTCTCAAACCAATAATGACCGCTGCCCTTTGGCAACACAGTCCCTGCTTGTAATTCAGGTGTGTAAAATACTAACATTACTGAGTCTGCAAGACCAACAAGCTTTCAGCGCCTGTCACTACTTCTGTCTCTAAAGAGAATCTAGCGGAGCTAGCCGAGCTAGCCATGCTCAATAAACAGATACCAATCAAACAATCGACACCTTGAAATGTTAATCAGAGAATATATTATACATATACATCCTTAATACACATGCACAGAGGTTTTCAGAATTATTTGTTTACGTTTTCATGACAAAAATAGTGTTTTAATGTGAAAAACCCGGAAGTAACCATTTACATGAAACGAACATTTTAGGACACATTTGAAGAGGATCTGATGATGGATTTAGATTCAGTATATAAATGGGTAACTCACCGCTGATGTTCAGAATTCTTTGTTCAGTTTTCATGTAGTTCCAGGGAGTTTTTGAACTAGCTAGCTTAGCTGTTACCTGCCTATCATGTCACGGTGAAACCTTTGGGAGCTAACTATTTTATTTGCAGTCATTAAATAAATTTCGAACAGAAAGGGCTGTCTAATATTCGTTTGAATATGTAAGGGATAACGTATAGTACGCAGGTCATTATCGGAAAATAAGTAGGGGTCTGCTTCTGCCCTGAAGGTACTTATTTTCCGATAATGACCTGCGTAATATACGTTATCCCGCTTATTACACGGCTTTATACCAACAGAACACACAACATAAACTTCAGTTCACTTTTAGGAATGCCGAAAGGTTTATTTAAAATAAGAAAGAAAATAAAATAGTTCCCAATGACTTTTCCGTGGCTATGCTAGCAACAGTTAGGCAATCAACTTCCCAAACTATAATTCTCTGGAACTGCATGAAAACTGAACAAAGAATTGTAAACATCAGCGGTGAGTGACCCAAACATAAACCTAACCTAAATCCATACTTCGATCCTCTGCAAATGTGTCCGAAAATGTGCCGGTATTTACTTCCGGGTTTTTCGGGATCGCCTTTTCTCGCATTACATCAGTGTTTTTGTCATGAAAACGTAAACGGAAAATTCTGAAAACTTCCGTGCACTTGTATTAAAAATATATATGAAGAGTTTATTTGCAAAAGCAGATATCTCCGTTTTTATGAAATGTCAAAAAACGGAGATATCTGTTTTTTTTAACCTCTTTTATATTTTATCTTATGGGAACACTTAGGTTGGTAAACTTTACTGGCTTCAACAAAGGAATATACACTTGACAAAAGTAGACATTTCCAAAAATATAACTTTATTTATTATAATTTATTTTTAACTTAAAATAAATATTTGTGCACAAAACCAGATAAATCCAACAATCGTTTTTTTGTCAAAAACAGTTAACTCCGCAATTATTGCGTTTACATTAAATAAAGGACATAAATTAAGCCTGTACATCTTTGAATTAACCGATATAATACATTTTTCTTAAAAAAAACTTCAAACATGCTAAAACATTGCTTTTAAAAGTGACAATACATTCAAGTTATTCGGATACTGTAACACAAAATTATATCATCTTTGAAAACACAAGGTCAAGGCAGCATTTAAAAAGTGCAAACTTGTAAACAATCTATGGAAAAGAACATTTTCTTTGGAGCAATTCATTTTAGTGCACTACAAAACAAATGATGCAACATGTAAGTGAAATGTATCAAGTGCAACATTAAGGGTTTTTAACTCATTGCAACATATGGCATATTAAAGCTTTGAAACCAAAAAAAATACCTATGTAACAAAATTCAAGTAACATGCCTCTAGATTTCGATTTTATTTCACCTCCATGTATTTTGGGTTCCTGTCATCTTTAGATCAGGTTCTTCAGAAAGAGAAAGGACCATCCTCACTCAAACCAACCAGCTTATAGTCCAAAGAGGCAAATTTCAATTCGCAAGACTATTGGGACAAAACATGTAAAGTAAATTAAAAAGGTTTCACCAGCTTTAGCTTCATATTAGAATTGGGCTCAGCTTGATTAATTCATTTGCCCTCTCAAAGTTTGTGAGAATCTGTTCACTATCTGCTCACTCACTCCTCATTCCCATCACTACTCTCCACCAAGTCCTGTCTGCCTGCATCGCATCCTGCTCCAACTAACGCATCTGTATAGAATGTAGTGACTGTGTCACCTACCCCAAGCTCTCCAAGCAGTTTTAGGACATCGGCTTTTTTAGCTGCCTTCACACAGTTTACTCTTTGAGCGAGTGCTGGCTTGAAGGTCTCCCATCTTTTCCCACGTTTCAAAAGACTGTGGTAACAGAAATCTCCACCATACTGCGGCTTAAAGCCTACTTTGTCCCCACTGATTTCCAGAACCTTGGCTTCACTTATTTTAAATGAGCGAGATGAGGTACAATGTTTTGCAGCAGCAGCTTTAAAGTCATAGCACTCCCAGTGTTGTCCATAAACGTGTACGTTTCCATGTTTTTCCATAATGTTCACATACTCTGATGGAAGCAGGATAGTGTCATTTTTTTTAACTTCCTGCTCCAGGCGTCCAAAGACACGGTCAGGGGGCATAAAGCTATGCCCACGTACAGGGAATGTATATTCCACTCTTACGTTTTTTAGTGTTGCCTTTTTGAGAGAAAAAAGCATAGCGAGCATGCTTACATTTTTATTTTGCCCATAGCAAGAATCAGAAAATAGTCTGAGTTCTTTATGGTGACTAAGTTCATTACAAGCAACACGACTCAGATAATGTTGCAAAGCAGATGCCACCATGTTACTGTCCTTGTTTTCATTTTCTAGCCATGTGTAAAGATGGACATCTTCTTTTTTCTGACCTGCACCACGACCACGATGACGCACAACTCCAAACACATACTGATATAACTGCCTTGAATAATATGTCTGTCCAATGGCAGATTTTGGTAGCACTAGATTTTGCATCATGTCAAATGATACAGTGTAAGTGTCACTCACAGCATTTAAACAATCATAAAACTTGCGCGCTTTGCGTCTATGCAACATGAATAGAGCAGCCTCCTTGCGCTTTTCCTCATCTGACATCTCAGGATCTTTCAGTTTCAGTCGGGATTTTATGCAGGTGCTACAAACGTCTTTTGCAGGATGTCCAAATCCTAAGTTGAAGTCATACATGAACACACTATAGTATAATGCATAGGAGATCTGCTGCTCATTCTGACTGTGGAACAGTTCATGCATCTTCCTAACGTTCAGATCAACAGGAAGGTACTTTCTACCAGGTGCTCCTCTGCGCGCATAATGACTGGCTCTGCAGGTGAAAGTCTGGATGTGCTCTGATGGCTTCTCTCTTAGCTGCCCTCTCTTCGGACCTCCGTGCTCCTCCACGGCGCTCCGGCATTGGCACCCCATTCTGTTTCCAAAACTTGGCGATGTTACACAGACGGTCTTTCTTCACACCTGTAATCACAGATTATTTTAAGTTAGATCAATTATATTAGCTACATCTTTGCAAAAGTATGTCACTAAAAAGTTTGTTTAATAAATAGATTCATTATTGATCCAGAGGGAAATTGCAGTAAATAGCTTCAACTACTGTTAATAAAAACAAACACTGCAGAGAACAGTCTATGTATGCCCCAGTACTGTATTGTCAAAGACTAGTTAATTATAAATCACTGTCAAATAATATATGTTATGACTCCAGATTAAATACACGCAAGAGTTTTCTGAAAGGTTTATAGCAATTCCCCATCATGTTAAATATTAATATTATGTTAATAATACACACAAAAGACAAACTACAACACTATTAGAAAAGGAACTATTACATAATCAAATGTTTTTTTTGAAATAATAAACTCAAAATACTCACAGAATAGGCTCATGAATGAGGATTTGCAGACTGGGATCCTATCTCGTGCTCTGGTCAAGACGGAATATTTCACCGTCAGGTCTCTGGACTTCTGTTGCGCACTGTCTTCTATCTTTGATCTCCTCCGTTTTACTGCGGTGACATCCATGTATGACAAGAGCGTGGCACCTTGCTTTACCTTGTCTGTGGTGGTATACAAGGTGTGGTGTATGTAATCGATGTCTTTTGGGGATAACTTGGCTGCCTGACAAACATTCACGTTGTTATGTACACAAGCAACAGCTGCGTTCGCGCCACCACTATGCCGGGCATTCTTCTGCCCGGCATACGAACTCTTCATATGTATAATGTTCTCTCCGATTAACATTTAATGGCGTTGATTGATTGGCATTTGCGTTTAATGACCGTGGCTAGCTCCGGAGTGGCTGGAACTACTTCCGGGTTTTTCACGATCGCTTTTTGACGCAGATACATGGTATTTTTGTCATGAAGACGAGAGCAGTAAATTCGGAAAATTTCCGTTCTCGTGTTTTAAGAATGTATAAGTATTCTCCGATTAATATTTAAGTGTGTTGATTGATTGGTATTTGCGTTTAGTGAGCGTGGCTAGCTCCGGAGTGGCCGGAACTACTTGCGGAGTTATCCACGCATCTGAAAGACAAGCAGAGAGTGCGTTGCCATGGGCAGCGGTCATTATTGTTTTGAGAGGTCCGTTATAGAAAATAATGACCGGTAGAACGTTTTGAAATTACATTCAAATCAATGGAGCGTTCTTCTGCTGCTGTGAGGAGCCGTGTAATAAATATATATATTTTTTATATTCAAATTATATTCAAATATGGGGCGACAGTAGCTCAGTTGGTAGAGCATTGGCCTTTGGAACCGGAGGTCGTGAGTTCGATTCACACTATTGGATTTCCAAGTCAAAGCCCTAATATGTGCTATTGTTAATCAAAAGCCAGTGGAACATTGTTCTTAAGGCTCAGATCTGTTGTATGTTCTGTAATTACTGAAAGTGCCTGAGCATACTGTGTGACCGTGTTGGGACCGATGGAACTAAATTGTGGACAGAAAACAAATGAAGATCGAATGTTTGCCTTGTGCTCAGCACTCAATCTTACTAAGTGGCTTCAGCGCTCCCTACCAGCCTTTTTAATTATTCTAAATGACATTTGGTTCAGGCTCTACCTGTGTCTTCATTAGAGTGTGTTTAATCCATGTCCATAAAAACTCAAGCCAAACTCAATATAATGGCAATATAAGTATGGTATCTTCAGTGTTTGCTTTTTCAGACTTCTATATGTAGAAGAATGGAGTTTTGGTGAAAACCAGCTGGTGGCAACAGAATGAAAGACTACAAAAGCCTGAGGTCGGATGTAGTACTTCCTCTGATTCAGGATGTCACCTTGTGTGTGTGTCCCTATGAGTGGGTGCCGGTGATGGCCTGCCCGGAAATAGAATTACAGCCTTGTCTGGCTCTTGGCTGTTCCAGAAGCTGTCAATGCTGAAGGTGTATGTTTTTTTGGCCCAGTGTAGTTTAGCCGATGTGGACTTTTGAATGCACTCGTTAAATGAATGGGCCTTGTGCTGGCTAATGCATGCCCAATTGTGTTTTTTTTCCACCTTTTTGAGAGGGGCCACTCGCGGCCATTTTAAAAAAGACTGCAGGGAAAAGTGATGACATGTAAGTTTCAATGGCAGAGATAGGCATCACTATGTCCGTTAATATTTACAGTCTCTAGTCCGAACCTCCACCTGCCAAGCAATATTGTTTTTTTTGCAAATGTAAATGGTTGAATGGCCTCATCTGTGTGGGCCATAGAGCTCTACTGTGCTCGATGGCTCAGCACTCTGCAGTGACGATGACAAGTATCCTAGTGACGATGACTGTGACAACAAATGAGATGAAACTGAAAGAGATTCCTATTTAACTTATGGGCCATGTTTTAAAATGATAACTCAATTCGAAATCAATGAAACCTGAATACAATGGTATGCCTTTTGTGCATTATTATTTGGGCATCTTGTTAGCTTTCGGTTAATTTTGATATTATTTTATATGTATGGTAATTGTGCCCAACCCTCGAGATACCACATATATATGCTGATTCCGTTTAAACATCAAACATGCTGCTGCTTGTATGTGCCCCTTGTCAGCACATACTGTACATGTTTTGTCAAAGGAAAGAACATGAATACATCTATTAGTATCAATGTATGTTTTGTATGTGCCCCTTGTCAGCACATACATGTTTTGTCAAAGGAAAGAACATGAATACATCTATTAGTATAAATGTATGTTTTTTTTCCAGCCAGTTGTTGCACGACTTCTACTCCTGCATTCCTCCTGAAAAACTCCAGAAACACAAGGTGCTGTCCATGACTGAGATCGTCAGCAGCAAGCTCTTTCGAAAGCAAGGTCAGTCCTCACATTATAGAAGAATATGGCTAACATGTATTTGTATTTCACTTTTCATGGTCACATGTCAGACAGGGTCCAAAGAAAGACATTAGAAGGTTACAGAGTCTTTAGTTTACTCTTAAAGACATTCAACATTGTGCTCCATTGTTATGTATTTAAAACCATTATCAGAGCACCATGCCCTTTTGTGGTCATAACTAAACTTTTGGTTTCTATATAAGCTACAGAAACCCAAAATATACCTTTTTAAACTGTACATCCCTACATTTTGTCACATGTCTAAAAATGTATATGTAAACAAGATTGGATATGAAATTGATACAAAAATAATTATTCATGCTAATTTCCTGAATAAATACATGAAAGGGGTGGCGAGCGGCTGGTGAGGGAGTGAGTGAAGGAGTAGTCATGTAGTCGAGAAGTTGAGTCAAGTAAAACAGTCAAGTAGTCAAATGGAATATACCAGTAGAATATTCCATTTACAGGGAGTATAAAAGAAAGAAGGCTTTCATAAACAAGCATGATGATTATAAAGTAAATTAATACCTGGATTGGGAGAATTTTAAATCAGAACCAAGCGTTGTATTGAAGTAGTCTTTATTGTATTCCCATTATTAATAATATCTCACATGTGTTAAGTACTTTGTCATGACATTTTCTCTACAATGGAGATTATGCTGAAAGGTCTGGTTTCGTAATGCGGCTTCTGCTTGAGCTTTATGACCAATATCACAACTCTTTGGCTTTTTATAAGATGACCTTTACATTGTAAGCCAATATTGTCACGCTGCATTTGCTCTCGCACAATCCAGTACATTTCTCTGTAGTCCCCAGGATAGTCCACCTATTTTCAGAAGTGCCAAAATAAACCACAAACAATCTGTTTAAAACAGTTTTTCATATTGAAACAAGAGAACATATCATTGTTTTGCTTTCATCCATTTCTATTTATTGTTTTTCACTCACTTTGTGACTGATCTGAAAATAGGTTGGCCTCATCATGAGCTCAGTGAGATGCTTTTATAATAAGTGTGGCTATGTGATTGCGTTGCTGTTGCTCTATTATTATCAGCAATTCAAGAGATACCAGTCCACACTCTCTGCCATAGGCCCTGCTATTGTCTGAAAATACTCCTATGTATGGCTTTGTAGTTCTCTAGGACCTAGAAGGAGATTATTTGTTTATGACATTGTTGAAAACGCATTGTAGCAGGAAAGAATGCAGGAGAGTCTAAGGACAGGCGATATCAGGGACATGTGTTTTCTTATTGTGTTTCTTTGTGTTCCAATTGTTTATTTTCAAATCTGCTGTTGGCAAATGGACACTTCTGTTATGCCTTTTGAGATTATGAGCTATGTAAAAATATTTGATTTGTTTTTCACTTTTTCTGTTGTTTTATACCACCTTAAAATCATTCAGAGACAAAACATATTTCAACATTCAAAATGTTGCTACAGGCCATGCTTATTGGGCTTCACCTTCTCACACATATCATCACTGCCTTGAGTTCATACGTTTCAAAATATTAGGTTTGGCAGTTTTGCTCTGGATTATAAACTTGGTTCTGTATATGTTTTATATAAAAAAGAAGAGGACACAATGAAAGCTCAAACAAATGGCATGCATAGGTTTGTATATTATTTGCAAACCTTAAGCCGTAGTCGTCATCAAGTAATTAATTGTCTCTGTTGTTATTGTGAACAACCCACTCATGAATTATTCTTGGCTAGCAGAGGTGTTCTCTCTTGAGGATTGGAGCTTTTTTATTGATTCCACCTCAAATCATTCATTCTCCCACAGTGTGACTGATGGCCTCACCTCTGTCCACACACTGACCGTCAGAACCCTGTCTGAAGCCCATAGAGAGAGAAGGCGGACGAAACAAACACATCACTGTCCGGTACATGAAGGGTGAAAACAACATGATCCAAGGAATAACCCAAAGGTGTCTGCCTTTGGGAAGCTGTTGTTTTCACATTTATTGAAGCTATTGCATTGTAGGTCATGAAAAAAAGAAATGTAGATTGGAAAAAAAGGACTGGAAATATTGCCTTCTGGGTTGGTGCTAGAAGAGACAAATAGATACGAATTCTTTGTGAAATATGGGATTTGAATGGGGCTACAGGTTGGAGATTAAAGCAAAACATTTCAGACACAAAAAGTTGATGAGAAGAAAACAGTGAGCCCTTCCCACAATAAATTGTATCTTCTGTCCAGAGGTCTCTTTGAGTTTCCCCTGCCTTGGCAGTGCTTCAGATGGATTTCATATTTATTCATTGCTTCATAGTTTCTCTCCAAACCCCTGGTTTGCAAAGTGAGCACTGACACTCTGGGAAATTGAGATGCATTTGGATGCTAATCAGAATGCCTGTATGTGGAGATGTGATTTGGTCAGGAGGTTGAAATATTGGAGTTTTAAATTTATTATTTATGATGACTAATGGCCGCTGGTGTCCTATTGCTGCCCTGTAGCACATATTTAATGGGGTTTTACCTGACGGCCAGGGCCGGCCTGTCTCTGGGGAGAGATGTGTCTGTCAGTGGAGAATATTTGAAAGTGTGTACGTGTGTGTGTGTGTGTGTGTACTCGTCTACGTGGGCATGTGTTTGTTTGAAAGAGGGACAGCCGCCTGACAGAAGGGCATTATTTCCATCTTTTCTCTCAAAGTGAAGGCCCTCGCCGTACATTTAACTCAAAACACAACAGTAAACAGCATACTTTTTGGATTTGGTTTCTAGTTTGGAATGTGATTTTAATGGGCTCTCCGGAAGTAGAAGCTGTAGGGCAACAGTGATGCCCTACATCACTGTGTAATAACAATTGTAGCATAAAGCATGTTTAGGATAATGTTATTACTTTTGATAGATATGTTTCAGCTATAGCTTTATTAGTCAAGAGCGATGAACTTTGAAGAGATCTGCCTGTGTTGAATCAACCGGCTAGATTGTCTTTGGTCCCCAGAAACAAAGAGAGAGCGTCATCTGTCACCTACAGTCTCTCTCCCTAAAACCTTCAAACAAGGTCAGAAATCTAGGGGTAATACTGGACTCAGACTTAAATTTTAATAGCCACATCAAATCAGTAACATCAGCAGCTTTTTACCATCTAAAAAACATTGCCAGGATCAAAAACATAGTGTCTAAAGCAGACTTGGAGATTCTTATCCATGCATTTGTCTCCAGTAGGTTAGACTACTGCAATGGCCTGCTCACAGGTCTGTCCAAACAGGCTGTAAAACAGCTACAGTACATTCAAAATGCAGCAGCTCGAGTCCTGACTAGAACCAGGAAGTACGACCACATTAGTCCGGTCCTCAGGTCCCTGCACTGGCTTCCTGTGGCTCAGAGAATAGACTTTAAAACAGCTCTGCTTGTGTACAAATCTCTCCATGGCCTCGCACCAAACTATATTAGTGACATGTTAGTCCCATATGAACCAGCCCGGACTCTGAGGAGCACAGGGACTGGACTCCTGTTAGTGCCCAGAGTCAGAACTAAACATGGGGAGGCTGCTTTTCAGATTCATGCTGCTAAAATCTGGAACATTCTTCCTGAGGATGTGAGACAGGCCTCCTCTCTGACTATGTTTAAAACCAAGTTAAAAACTGTGCTGTTTAGCTGTGCATACAACTGAGGGATTTTATATTTTTATCTTTTTTTTTTTTTTTTTAATGTACTGTGATTATTTATGATTTTAATGCTTTCTTGTTCTGTTCAGCACTTTGAGTTGCCTTGTGTATGAATTGTGCTATACAAATAAACTTGCCTTGCCTTGCCTTGCCTAGATTGATGTAGCATACGCTCTTAGGATTAGAGACACACTGTTTACCGCCTGTACAGACTCACACACAAGGACAGATTCTCTCTCCATCATATGGATTAATCTGGTTCAAGCAAAATGAAATTTACAGGCCACATTATGGCTCAATTAAGGCAAATTATGGCTCACCAGAACAGTGTGACAGATTGAGAGCAGCTGCTCAGATAAAGACAAAATGATCAGGGAGAGCAGAGATCAGGCTTACGCAGGGATGAGTCTGTCACTTTGTTTGCCGTCTAATTTTCCAAAGCTGGTCAAAGCCCCCAATACACTGAACTGAACTGAGCGTCTGTCTGAAAAGAAAGCAGATTAAAGAAAGAAGAACTCAAGTAAACAAGTTGTAAATAAACATCTCCTCTGATTGTTTTGATGCAGCGTTGCTTCAAGTGTCTAACTAAGCAGATGCCTGTAGTCTGAATCTGCGACTCATGGACTCTACAGTTATTATCACAAATTTAATCAGAGCAGAGTGAGCTCTTTTGGGCTCACCCTCTGCACCAATCAGCTTTAGCCTCAAGCCACTTTAGACTTTAACTCTAATCACAGTGATTGAGGCTCAAAATACATGATAAATTACAGAAATGACAGTTGGTTGCTTTTAAATAACGATTCGATATATTCAAAGCGGCACAGAGCATTATACACGTGTCATTTCACTTCAGGACAAATGAGAGTGAGTCCATGTTACCATTTAAATAATCTATTTCCCCTGTCTGGTGAATGAAGCTTGGTTTAGCTAGTTTCTGCCAACGCAAAAAGATAAATGAAATAACAAGCGTATATTTGATAATGGAGCATACTGGTGGCTGAGTGGATAGCACTCTCGCATCTCAGCAAGAATGTCCTGGGTTCGAATCCCGGTCGGACCAGGGCCTCTCTGAGTGGAGTTTGCATGTTCTCCCTGTGTCTGCGTAGGTTTCCTCCGGGTACTCCGGTTTCCCCTACCACTAAAAACATGGACAATAGGTCCTGTACCGGCAACCCCGCTCCCATCTCTGTGTGGAGTAAGAGGACAAATGCCCAAAAAAACAAACAATTGTAAACCGCTTTGTGACACTGGTTTTTTGAAAGGTGGTATATAAATAAAGATTACTTACTTACTTACTTATTTCTACCAATGTACGCATATGAACTATATCATACTTTTTAGAAAACAATAGCTTGATGAACACATTC